GCCTGGTCGTCCTGCATCTCTACCGCCTAGCCTGGTCGTCCTGCATCTCTACCACCTAGCCTGGTCATCCTGCATCTCTACCAACTAGCAGAGTCATCCTGCATCTCTTCCACCTAGCCTGGTCATCCTGCATCTCTACCACCTAGCCTGGTCATCCTTCATCTCTACCACCTAGCCTGGTCATCCTGCATCTCTACCATTTAGCCTGGTCATCCTGCATCTCTACCACCTAGCCTGGTCATCCTTCATCTCTACCACCTAGCCTGGTCATCCTTCATCTCTACCACCTAGCCTGGTTGTCCTTCATCTCTACCACCTAGCCTGGTCGTCCTTCATCTCTACCACCTAGCCTGGTCATCCTTCATCTCTACCACCTAGCCTGGTCATCCTGCATCTCTACCACCTAGCCTGGTCATCCTGCATCTCTACCACCTAGCCTGGTCATCCTTAATCTCTACCACCTAGCCTGGTCGTCCTGCATCTCTACCACCTAGCCTGGTCATCCTGCATCTCTACCACCTAGCCTGGTCGTCCTTCATCTCTACCACCTAGCCTGGTCATCCTTCATCTCTACCACCTAGCCTGGTCGTCCTGCATCTCTACCACCTAGCCTGGTCATCCTGCATCTCTACCACCTAGCCTGGTCGTCCTTCATCTCTACCACCTAGCCTGGTCATCCTTCATCTCTACCACCTAGCATGGTCGTCCTTCATCTCTACCACCTAGCCTGGTCGTCCTTCATCTCTACCACCTAGCCTGGTCATCCTGCATCTCTACCACCTAGCAGGGTCAACCTGCATCTTGAACAGGATGCTAATACCTTGACTGGTCACGTCACTCTGACCTTCACACAGGCCATTCCCTGGACCAGCAGAGGGGTGAGGGAAAGCAGAGAGGCAGAGGGGGCGAGACTAGAGAGAGTATCTGTTTTCGAGTTTGGAGCTCCCAAGAGACAGACAGGGGGTGTGGGCAGTGATCAGTGATCTAAGCTCCCATCTCTCCCTCTCTGTAGGGAACAAGAATCACTCTCTCTCCGTGGTATCTCTCTCATCAGAATTTCTGCCCCATTGTTCACAGAGAGGGCTTCTCCGCTCTATTCTTCCTGACAGGTAGCAGCAGTCTACCACACACTCACTCTCTCTCTCTCTCTCACACACACACACTCACACACTCTCTCTCCTTTATCTTGGACTTTGCCAAAAGTTGTTTACAAGAATCCCCAATTTCCTTTGACATGAGCCACCATGAAACCAACCATTTCCCCAGGTGCGTAGCTCCTCTCTCTAGTGGTGTATCTGTATGATTGTTCATTAACTGCTGTGTGATAAATGGCATTCATCTGACTCCAGACCTGCCGGTGAGAGAATGTCACAGAGATGAATGCTTTGATCCTGAAATGGGTTTGTGTTTATATCTAACAAGATACTGACTGACTTTTGTTCAAATCAAATCAAATTTTATTTGTCACATGCGCCAAATACAACAGGTGTAGACCTTACCTTGAAATGCTTACTTACAAGCCCTTAACCAACAATGCAGTTCAAGAAATAGAGTTAAGAAAATATTTACTAAATAAACTAAAGTCAAAAATAAAAAGTAATACAATAAAATAACTATAATGAGGCTATATACAGTCAATGTGTGGGGGGGTACAGGTTAGTCGAGGTAATTTGTACATGTAGGTAGGGGTAAAGTGACTGCATAGATAATAAACAGTGAGTAGCAGCAGTGTAAAAACAAAGGGGGGTTCAATGTAAATAGTCCAGGTGGCCATTTGATTAATTGTTCAGCAGTCTTATGGCTTGGGGGTAGAAGCTGTTAAGGAGCCTTTTGGACCTAGACTTGGCGCTCCAGTACCGCTTGCTGACACCGCCTAGAATATATAGGTCCTGGATGGCAGGAAGCTTGGCCCCAGTGATGTACTGGGCCATACACACTACACTCTGTAGCACCTTACGGTCAGTTGCCATACCAGGCGGTGATGCAACCGGTCAGGATGCTCTCGATGGTGCAGCTGTATAACTTTTTGAGGATCTGTGGACCTATGCCAAATCTTTTCAGTCTCCTGAGGGGGAAAAGGTGTTGTCGTGCCATCTTCACGACTGTCTTGGTGTGTTTGGACCATGATAGTTTGTTGGTGATGTGGACACCAAGGAACTTGAAACTCTCGACCCGCTCCACTACAGCCCTGTCAATGTGAATGGGGGCGTGTTCGGCCCTCCTTTTCCTGTAGTCCACGATCATCTCCTTTGTCTTGATCACATTGAGGGAGAGGTTGTTGACCTGGCACCACATGGCCAGGTCTCTGACCTCCTCCCTATAGGCTGTGTCATCGTTGTCTGTGATCAGGCCTAACTGTTGTGTCGTCAGCAAACTTAATGATAGTGTTGGAGTCGTCCTAGGCCACGCAGTCATGGGTGAACAGGGAGTACAGGAGGGGACTAAGCACGCACCCCTGAGGGGCCCCCGTGTTGAGGATCAGCGTGGCAGATGTGTTGTTGCCTACCCTTACCACCTGGGGGCGGCCCGTCAGGGAAGTCCAGGATCAAGTTGCAGAGGGAGGTGTTTAGTCCCAGGGTCATTAGCTTAGTGATTACCTTTGTGGGCACTATGGTGTTGAACGCTGAGCTGTAGTCAAGGAACAGCATTCTCACATAGGTGTTCCTTTTGTCCAGGTGGGAAAGGGCAGTGTGGAGTGCGATTAAGATTGCGTCATCTGTGGATCTGTTGGGGTGGTATGCGAATTGGAGTGGGTCTAGGGTATCCGGGATGATGGGTTTCCCTTTGTTCATGCAGAGAGACCTCGTTTGAGTTGCTTTGTCCCTTTTCATGATTTTCATGATGTCAACAAAGGCAGAACATATTGATCTGAGCCTGTATTGTTTGTTGTACAGAGAATTGATAGAAATGTTTTTCCACTCAGAAGTTTTCTAGCCAGCGATATTGTGGAGAGAGTCATCGTTTTCAGCTTAATTTAGATGTTGCATCTTAACAAGTTAAAAGTCACAGTTTTCACAACTCTTTGTCAAAAATGGAAACACCCCCCGCAAAGAAACCACACTATTTAGCCTGGAAACACTTTCAGCTGTTGCCTGTCTAATTTACATGTCAATGGGTTTCTTTTCATCAGAAACTTTCTTTCTCGCTCAGTCATATTCATCAATGCGTCTCCTAAGTCAGATGTTTGCATCCTCTGCTGTAGATTTCCCATACGAGTCAATCTCCGCAGAGACACGTGAGGCCGTTTTTTGATTACGCACATATAAATAATGCATATGTAGGTTTGTCCCCCCTCCTGCCTGGGTCTGAGGCGAGGTGATCGATGCCCCCAGGCCCAGCCTCTGGGCAGTGGAAGGGAAGGGAACCCGTGACATTTCCAACACATTGGAGGAGACTGCTCCGTCAACCAGATTGGCACTCCCTGTGTGTGTTGACAGGAGGACACGCACACACACCGTACACACACAGGACACTGTGATGTCCCACTGAGGCCTTTCTGGCAATGAAATCCATTTCCATCAGTCACTGTGGCCAGTGTGCATTGACTCCTCTCTCTTGTGTGCACTCTCTCTCTCACTAATTGATAAATTACACCCTACTCTTGAAGCCTTTAACTCTCTCTACCAGCTCTCTCTCTCCTGTCTGTCTCTCTCTCTTCTCTCTTTCCTCTATCTCTCTCTGTTCCCCCCCCCCCTTTTCTCTTTCTCTAGTGAGGAGGTATTTACAGAGCATAGAGCTACTGAATGGTTTGACCTATCCTGTGTGACCGGGGCATATACACTTCCAGTCAGTGCGTCAGTCATCCCTACGTGTGGCAGTAAGGTCTCCAAAGACAATTACCTATAGGGCCAGTATGTTTTAGGATGACTCAGTCAGAGCTTTAGGGATGAGACCAGAAGAGAAAGATTCAGTGTTTTGTTTTATTACTTGCGACTCTAAATCATGATAATCAGCGCTTTCTAAATCATGATAATCAGCGCTTGCTAAATCACCTCAATGGATTTGGAGAGAGAACATAAAATCATCTGATTATACATTTTTAAGATATCAGTTAAGTCACACATCTCTTTGGTTGTGAATGTGTAGGCTAATTGGATCTGAGTGCTTGTATAGAATGCATGTATATTAGTGGCTGTATTGGTTACATTGGCTTAGTGCCTCTATCTAATGATATTAGTATATTAACATATTGGTGACAACCAGGGTTGCAAAAACCCTGTAACTTTTCCAAAATTCCCAGCTTTCCAGAATTCCTGGTTGGAGGATGCCCGGATTTCCCGCTTATTCCCCCGATTCCAGGAATGTTAAAACCAGGATTTCTGGGAAACTTGGGAATTTTGAGAAAGTTACTGGAATTTTGCAACCCTATTGACAAATAATTGAAACCGTAAGAGACTTCTACACAGTGTCACAAAGATATCAGTAATACAATGTACTACAACTGTGTAACATCTTAGCAAGGAGTGGACGTGTGTAGAATAGGACAAATGCCCAGTCAACCATTCCTCTGCTACAGTGTAACTACAGTCTAACTAACCAGTTTATGTAGTGTTTATGAATAGTATATTTTCCTTTATGATATTTATTTATGTCTTACACCCATGGAGATGTATTATAGAATACTGTGTTCTAATTATATTACTATGGTACACCCATTAAAACAATTATAACAATACAAGGGGTGTATGGTGAGTGATTATTTGTAGGTACATTACGTAAAATAATCATCAGTAGTGACATCTGATGTTATCAGTAAAGCAGAGGCAGGTGTACAGGGGATTAATGGTGAATGGAGGTTGATGTCTTTGAATAGGCTTCACCTGCTTGTTCTGTCGTTAGCACCGTTGCAGGTTGGCATGTGTCTAAGCACGTGCCCGCTGGGCGCTGGCACAGAGCAGCAGATGACCGCATCCCAATGATCTTCCCTGTTCTTTCTCCACCCCTTCTCTCTCACTTCCTCTAACCTCTCCCTCCCTCTTTTCTCTTCCTCTCCTCAAGGCACGCTGGTGGGGGTGGGTGATGTCATCTCCCAGCAGGTGCTTGAGAGGCGGGGTCTAGCCAATCACAATGTGACACGGACGGCCAAGATGATGAGCATCGGATTCTTCTTTGTCGTGAGTCCTCCTTCCTCTCTTTTATCTCACTGTCTCACCTCACATGACTGGTTAGTGTCAGTGTATCAGTCTTTACCACACATGCACATTGGGTTGCTCACACACACACAGGGGAGAGGAGGTTTGTAGGGAGTGGTTCATGTGCTGTCACAAACACTCCATTGGCCAGCTGTTAAAGGAAAACAGCTCTGCGACTGTGCGTCAATAGCAGCCACAAGTAGGTATGAGTAGGTCTCTGAAGGAGTGAGAGAACAGCTGGGTAGCGTGGGCAGGCCACTCAAGGCCAGGCCACAGCACCAAGGCTCCTGGACACGCCACACACAGATGTTCCCTCTGACACACTCCTTCTCACAGACTCAGTGAGATGGCTTTGGCAGTGGCACTCTACAGAGAGCTGAGAAACTCTGTTGTCGTGACTCACCATAGTCGGTGTGTGTGCATGCGAGTTTGTATGTGGCCATCGGCCCAGTCACTGACCACCCTCTGTGTGACATCACTGGACAGAGCAGGGAGAGTGAGTGCAGAATGTCACCTAGAAATAAAATGGTTTTGTTTTTCCTCATTGTTACATAGGCAAAGAGTATTTATCATTGTAATCTTCTTATGTTCGTTCATTTAATATTATATTGTTCTTGTGCCTTGTGTAACACTGACAGGAGACAAACACTGTCTACACAGTTATGTAAAAGTAAAGCTATAACACAAGATGACTTACAGATCTGAAAGAGGTGCTGTGGTTGACTATGTTGTCTCACATATTTGTTTCCAGAATGTTCCGAAAGCAATAAAATTTTTCATGATTGCTTCCTGCTGTTACCCAATCCGTTTTTTAAATGATGAATCTGTGTGAAGTATCCTGATGGTCCTGTTTTCAACCCCAGGGCCCTGTAATAGGTGGATGGTACAAGGTTCTGGACAAGCTGGTCACTGGGGGGACCAAAAGTGCTGCCATGAAGAAAATGCTTGTCGATCAGGTGAGAGGGGCATCTGGGCGGCTGCATTTTATATGTTCATTTTCAATAAAAAACGAAAACAACTTCAGTACCACCAGCCAGTTGACATGAATAGATAATCTAACATGGTTTATATTACTTTAGGTAAGTTCTCTAATGGTTTGGTCATTATCCCTTGCAAGACTCCTTTACGCACAAACCAAATAACAACAAACATTCTAAATATGAGTGGACCACAGGTGAAGGTGCCCTCAGAAGTGCCTGTCGCTGTGGTGCCAGCCAGAGCTGAGTGAATAGGTGTAACACGCATCCCACGTTCCCACGTTTACCCCTGGAGGGAGGGTGAAGCCCCCCTCAGCGCGTGTCAACTAATCCTTGCATTGACAGGTGGGGGAACAAGGCCTGCTTGTATAATACGCTGCTAACATGATTTGGGGTCTGTGAATGCACAGGAAGAGAGAGGACAATGAGAGGCGAGCGCAGCACGGCCCTCTCCTGGAGGAGGGATTAGTGTACACTCTGAAGGATGCACGCTCTCCTTTCACAGCATTGCTATTTTCACACACAACTTCCACAAAACAGGGATTCCAGGGCTAATTTTAGATCCTAAAGACCCATTTCTGTTACAATGTCCTGTCAATGTTACCATATATAACACATTGTGGAGGGAGGGGGAGTTGATGTTGGTGGTCCTTGTCTAAATGAAGTTCATTAGTAGTCGTACGTCAGGTGGTGAAACTGGCCAAAGCTTTACCTGGGGAGTCCTAACCACAGTGATGAATCTCCCTTTATTACAGTCACTGAGCTGTAAAGCTGGCTGGTGTTAAGAAACAAGGTCTTCCCTGACTTAGATGACTTTCAGTGTTCTGAAAGAAGGGTAAGATTAGGTAGGGGAGGGAATGGCCGGCAGGGAGGTAGCTCAGTTGGTAGAGCATGGCGTTTGCAATGCCAGGGTTGTGGGTTCGATTCCCACGGGGGGCCAGTATGAAAAAAATTATAATAATGTATGCACTAACTGTAAGTCGCTCTGGATAAGAGCGTGTAAATGTAATTAGCTGGCAGGGTTTTACGAGCACTTCAAATAAATTAAAAGGAATTTCTCCCTCTCTTTATTATACAACAGCTCAAAGTGGGATCCTCAAGTTTGCTAACAACATAATTGCTCACAACATAGGTTATACAAGTAAGACATTGTATAACTGCTGCCCAAGTGACCATGATGTTGATTTGATCAACGTTGCATCAAATATCAATACAAATCTACAGGGTGAGGGTCTGTGTTTTAGTAACGCAACAGGTAAATTGCCATTTTTACTTCTGTAAATGATACGTATTATGACACCATTTGGCTTTTATGTACAACCTTGTAGAGGTAACAACAGCCTACATGTACTCTACTTTCAGGGCCCATCATAATTACTGCAATTATCCAATTTTCTTTTGAAACCTTGTAATAGTGGCCAGTGTGCATCATTATATGTATGCATCATGCCCATGAAAAAGTAAGATTCCATTAAAAGCCACTGAGCATTTTTCCCACAAATGTTTCACACACGTCCACATTTATATCAACATGTATATTCACACACACATACACACAGATGGATAAACAGTGTTTGTTCTTGTCATGTATCAACAGGTGGGCTTTGCTCCGTGTTTCCTGTGTGCCTTCCTGGGGATCTCTGGAACTTTGAATGGACTGACTGTGGAGGAGAATGTTGCCAAGCTCAAGAGGGTAAGGCTCATCTCAGCATGACTTTCCCCCACAGTTTTTAATTAAACTTACATTAAACCTCAAAGAATAAGATCATTAAAAAAAACATATAAAATCTAATCTAATTGTATTTGTCACATGCGCCAAATACAACAGGTGTAGACCTTACCATGAAATGCTTACTTACAAGCCCTTAACCAACAAGTTTGAGAAATTGTTAAGAAAATATTTACTAAATAAACTAAAGTAAAAAATAAAATAAAAGGTAACACAATAAAATAACAATAACAAGACTATATACGGGGGGTGGCGGTACCAAGTCAATGTGCGGGGGTACAGGTTAGTCGAGGTAATTTGTACATGTAGGTAGGGGTAAAGTGACTATGCATAGATAATAAACAGCGAGTAGCAGCAGTGTAAAATCAAAGGGGGGTTCAATGTAAATAGTCCGGGTGGCCATTTGATTAATTGTTCAGCAGTCTTATGGCTTGGGGTAGAAGCTATTAAGGAGCCTTTTGGACCTAGACTTGGCACTCCGATACCGCTTGCTGTGCGGTAGCAGAGAGAACAGTCTATGACTTGGGTGACTGGAGTCTTTGACAATTGTTAGGGCCTTCCTCTGACACCGCTTAGTATGGAGGTCCTGGGTGGCAGGAAGCTTGGCCCCAGTGATGTACTGGGCCGTACGCACTACCCTCTGTAGCGCCTTACGGTCGGATGCCAAGCAGTTGCCATACCAGGCGGTGATGCAACCGGTCAGGATGCTTTCGATGGTGCAGCTGTAGAACTTTTTGAGGATCTGGGGACCCATGCCAAATCTTTTCAGTCTCCTGAGGGGGAAAAGGTGTTGTCGTGCCCTCTTCACGACTGCCTTGGTGTGTTTGGACCATGATAGTTTTTTGGTGATGTGGACACCAAGGAACTTGAAACTCTCGACCCGCTCCACTACGGCCCCGTCGATGTTAATTGAGGCCTGTTCGGCCCTCCTTTTCCTGTAGTCCACGATCATCTCCTTTGTCTTGCTCACATTGAGGGAGATGTTGTTGTCCTGGCACCACATGGCCAGGTCTCTGACCTCCTCCCTATAGGCTGTCTCATCGTTGTCTGTGATCAGGCCTAACACTGTTGTGTCGTCAGCAAACTTAATGATAGTGTTGGAGTCGTCCTAGGCCACGCAGTCGTGGGTGAACAGGGAGTACAGGAGGGGACTAAGCACGCATCCCTGAGGGGCACCGTGTTGAGGGAGCACCTGGTGGCGGCCCATCAGAAAGTCCAGGATCCAGTTGCAGAGGGAGGTGTTTAGTCCCGGGGTCATTAGCTTAGTGATGAGCTTTGTGGGCACTCTGGTGTTGAACGCTGAGCTGTAGTCAATGAACAGCATTCTCACATAGGTGTTCCTTTTTGTCCAGGTGGGAAAGGGCAGTGTGGAGTGCGATGGAGATTGCGTCATGTGTGGATCTGTTGGGGTGGTATGCGAATTGGGGTGGGTCTAGGGTTTCCGGGATGATGGTGTTGATGTGAGCCATGACCAGCCTTTCAAAGCACTTCATGGCTACCGACGTGAGTGCTACGGGGCAGTAGTCATTTAGGCACGTTACCTTCGCTTTCTTGGGCACATGGAGTATGGTGGTCTGCTTGAAACATGTAGGTATTACAGACTCGGTCAGGGAGAGGTTGAAAATGTCAGTGAAGACACTTGCCAGTTGGTCCACGCATGCTCTGAGTACATGTCCTGGTAATCCGTCTGGCCCCACTGCCTTGTGAATGTTGACCTGTTTAAAGGTCTTGCTCACATCGGCTACGGAGAGCGTGATCACACAATCGTCCGGAACAGCTGGTGCTCTCATGCATGCTTCAGTGTTGCTTGCCTCGAAGCGAGCATAAAAGGCATTTAGCTCGTCTGGTAGGCTTGCGTCACTGGGCAGCTCGCGGCTAGGTTTCCCTTTGTAGTCCGTAATAGTTTGCAAGCCCTGCCACAACCGACGAGCGTCAGAGCCGGTGTAGTAGGATTCAATCTTAGTCCTGTATTGACGCTTTACCTGTTTGATGGTTCATCTGAGGGCATAGCGGGATTTCTTATAAGTGTCCGGATTAGTGTCCCGCTACTTGAAAGCGGCAGCTCTAACCTTTAGCTCGGTGCGGATGTTGCCTGTAATCCATGGCTTCTGGTTGGGATATGTACGTACAGTCACTGTGGGGACGACGTCGTCAATGCACTTATTGATGAAGCCGGTGACTGAGGTGGTATACTCCTCAATGCCATTGGATGAATCCCGGAACATATTCCAGTCTGTGCTAGCAAAACAGTCCTGTAGCATAGCATCCGCATCATCTGACCACTTCCGTATTGAGCGAGTCACTGGTAATTCCTGCTTTTGTTTTTGCTTGTAAGCAGGAATCAGGAGGATAGAATTATGGTCAGATTTGCCAAATGGAGGCCGAGGGAGAGCTTTGTATGTAGAGTGAAGGTGGTCTAGAGTTTATTTTCCTCTGGTTGCACATGTGACATGCTGGTAGAAATTAGGTAAAACGGATTTCAATTAGCCTGCATTAAAGTCCTCGGCCACTAGGAGTGTCAACTTCTGGATGAGCATTTTCTTGTTTGCTTATGGCCTTATACAGCTCGTTGAGTGCGGTCTTAGTGCAGCATCGGTTTGCGGTGGTAAATAGACGGCTACGAGTAATATAGATGAAAACTCTCTTGGTAGATAGTGTGGTCTACAGCTTATCATGAGGTACTCTACCTCAGGCGAGAAATACCTCGAGATGTCTTTAATATTAGACATCGCGCACCAGCTGTTATTGACAAATAGACACACACCCCAACCCCTCGACTTACCAGACGTAGCTGCTCTGTCCTGCCGATGCACGGAAAACCCAGCCAGCTCTATATTATCTGTGTCGTCGTTCAGCCACGACTCGGTGAAACATAAGATATTACAGTAGGATAGTCTCAATCGTAGATCATCCAGTTTATTTTCCAGTGATTGCACGTTGGCCAATAGAACGGATGGTAGAGGCAGTTTACCCACTCGCCGATGAATTCTCACAAGGCACCCCGACCTCCGCCCCCTGTATTTCTGTATTTTCTTCATGCGAATGATGAGGATTTGGGCCTGGTCTCGGGGAAGCAGTATATTCTTCGCGTCGGACTCATAAAGAACAAATCTTTGTCCAGTTCGAGGTGAGTAATCGCTGTTCTGATGTCCAGAAGCTCTTTCGGTCATAAGAGACGGTAGCAGCAACATTATGTACAAAATTAGTTACAAACAATGCGTAAAAACAAACAAAATAGCACAGTTGGTTAGGAGCCCATAAATATATTAAGCATGAGTCCAGATATTATAGAAATGTACACATGGTCTTGAAAGAGACGTGTGTAGCGTTGGCCTTGGAGCCCAGGGACTGTAGTACCCTCTGTAGGACCCCCCTGTAGTACCCTCTGTAGGACCCCCCTGTAGTACCCTCTGTAGGACCCCCCTGTAGTACCCTCTGTAGGACCCCCCTGTAGCTCCCAAACGGAGCTGAGGCGTCCTGTGGAACTCCTTTCCTCTCCTCCTCTATGTTCTCCAGGAAACTAACAGTGACCCCCATCTCTGACCCAGTTTAATTAGAAGCCATTTCCTCTCATGGAGGGGCGGAATGGAGGGAAGGAGGGTTGAAATAGCGGCGGGTGACTCATGTCTTAGATAAGGGGGGGGGTGTGTGTAACAGGGGTGTTCGTCCACCGCTCCCTTCCGCTCGCTCGGCGGACCATAAATTATTTATGCAAGGAAGGCGCTTGAGTTAAAATGAGGCCGAAAGGGCAGTCACCGAAATGTCAGAAAAGACAGAAAACAAATGGCAAATGTCCTCATTAGGCCAGACTGTGATGTAAAATAGATGTGAGGTGAAGTAATTAACATGACCACACCTTCCTCAACTAAAGTCAGGCGGAACTTGGTCTGGTGCCACAGACAGAAATTACTAGTTTGAATGGACTAGTCCTCAGCCCTGCTCTTCATTAGCTAGTGACAGGCCGCTCACATCTCAATCACAACACAAGCCCAGCTATGACTTCACTTCACCTCATTTTATAGTGTGGGTCAAGCTTTCCCCCGAGACCACTTGGTTATTCATGTATCTCTTTATAACAATCACTCTGATGCTACAGTATCTCCCTCCCTCCTTTATGAGAGGATGAATGGGATAGAGACGTGGGGGTCGGAGACGCCCATTTTGAGTGCTGCCATTCTCCTACACATGCCCTCATTGGTCAGTTGCTTCACTCCACGCTGCTGGATGCTGATACTGAAGGTCAAGTGCACACTACCTAGTGGGAAAACAAAGATTAGTGCTAACGACTTGTCTGCCTATTAGCGTTTTCATTACGCAACAGTTTGATGCCGTTATGACATTCTAGAGCTCAGTGTGTCATAATTAAGGGAAAAGATGGTGAGTGCTGGCCAAACTGTTCCATGACCACAGGACTGCAGCCTCTTGAGCTCAAATAAGTTGGTTGTCTCTTCAGCCCTAGACAACGAACGAAAGACGTCGCTCTCCAAATGAGGACGGATTTTGGTGACGTCATTGTGTGTCTCTGACGTTGTTGCCCTGCAGTGTTTTCACCCCATGTGGCCAACGCCTTGTTTGCTAGAAATTAGAAACTGTTAAGCCCCAGAAAACCAACAAAGACAGACAACATTTCTGGGAACATTGGCTTATTTTATACATTCCAGTCTTGCCCAATAAAGACAATATTACAAAAAAAATAATGAAATCCAGCCAATCTTGCTGCCTGTTGACCTTTAGTGAGATGGGCCAGGCTAAGTAAGGGTGCTGGCTGTTCCATATGTCTGGTTGTTTTATATGCCATGTGATGTGAGGGAGCAGGACGCGGCACTGACCCACAGTTGTTAACTTTAGACTATGGTGTTTTGCTGCTTTTGAGTGTCACCTGTCACTGTCTGTGACTGTCCCAGAGGAGGGCCAACACATACTGTAACCCCTCACAGCCTGAGTGACAGCCCCTACCCACCTGGTCAGGGTCAGAGTTCAACACAGGTGTGAACTGGAGGTAGGCACCCATGTGAGGGAGGGTTAGTGTCAGAAGTTTAGATGTTTCTACTAGAAATTCACCGTCATTAATATAAATAAACATAAAGGTCTCTATGTCTCTTGTTCTCTGCAGGACTATACGGATGCTTTGATCTCAAATTACTACGTAAGTTCTAAGCTTCACATATTACTTACGGTATGAAACACTCTGCAATGTTTCATCAATGTGTTCCGCTCTTTTTCAGCTATGGCCTCCAGTCCAGATTGCCAACTTCTATTTCATCCCACTGCACCACAGGTAAGTAAGGCCCAGGGATGGTTTAGTGACGTCAATGTTATCCTTATGGATATTCGGTATAATGTCAATTTATACTCGGAAATATTGATTTATTAATTCAGCTGTGATGCCTGAATGGAATTCTGATGTTAGTACGGAACTCTTGTCTTGCAGATTGGCTGTGGTCCAGATTGTAGCTGTCGCCTGGAATTCCTACTTGTCTTGGAAAGCCAATAAGATGTAATGGATGTTTCAGGTCCCGCCCTACCTCACACATAGGACTATTAATGAGACTTTTACACCCATAAATCGTGTCATAAACTGAATTCAGAAAGCTGTGAATCCCACACTAAGATGGTGGTCAGGAACAAATGGTTAACAAACTATGAAATACTGCATAGTGGACGATTTTTTTGAAAGTTTGTCACACCTACTGTGACGAGTACTGAGGATACGAAGAGGCAGGACGCAGACTCAGGAATCAACAAGGTAAAGGTTTACTTAACAATGAGAAAGAGAATAACAAGGAGCGAGTAAACGACACAACACTAACAATTACACACAACAATGACTGAACAGTCCAGGGCTATATAGTGGTGGTGATGAGATGATGAGGTGTATGTGTGCTGGAGGTGATTAGGGTGTGTTGGGTTTCCATTCCTGTGTTGCCGAGGTGCTGAGCTCAGACCTGTGGCTCAGTAGACCGGCGAATCAGAGCGCCGGAGGGGAGCAATGGGAGGATACGTGACACCTACAGTGCATTCTAAAAGTATTCAGACCCCTTGACTTTTTCCACATTTTGTTATGTTACAGCCTTATTCTAAAATTGATTAAATAAATAAAAATTCTCATCAATCTAAACACAATACCCCATAATGACAAAGCGGAAACAGGATTTTAGAACTTTTTGCTATTTTTTTAATTTTTTTAAACAGAAATACCTTATTTACATAAGTATTCAGACCCTTTGCTTTGAGACTCGAAATTGAGCTCAGGTGCATCCTGTTTCCATTGATCATCCTTGAGATGTTTCTACAACTTGATTGGAGTCCACCTGTGGTACATTCAATTGATTGGACATGATTTGGAAAGGCACACACCTGTCGATATAAGGTCCCACAGTTGACAGTGCATGTCAGAGCAAAAACCAAGCCATGAGGTCAAAGGAATTGTCCGTAGAGCTCTGAGACAGGATTGTGTCGAGGCACAGATCTGGGAAGGGTACCAAATAATTTCTGCAGCATTGAATGTCCCCAAGAACACAGTGGCCTCCATTATTCTTAAATGGAAGAAGTTTGGAACCACCAAGACTCTTCCTAGAGCTGGCCGTCCGGCTAAATTGAGCAATCGGGGGAGAAGGGCCTTGGCCATCTCTGCAGCACTCCACCAATCAGGCCTTTATGGTAGAGTGGCCAGACGGAAGCCACTCCTCAGTAAAAGGCACATGACAGCCCGCTTGGAGTTTGCCAAAAGGCACCTAAAGGACTCTCAGACCATGAAAAACAAGATTCTCTGGTCTGATGAAACCAAGATTGAACTGTTTGGCCTGAATGCCAAGCGTCACATCTAGAGGAAACCTGGCACCATCCCTACGGTGAAGCATGGTGGTGGCAGCGTCATGCTGTGGGGATGTTTTTCAGCGGCAGGGACTGGGAGACTAGTCAGGATCGAGGGAAAGGTTAACGTAGTACAGAGAGAGATCCTTGATGAAAACCTGCTCCAGAGCTCTCTGACTGGGGCGAAGGTTCACCTTCCAACAGGACAACAAGCCTAAGCACACAGCCAAGACAACGCAGGAGTGTCTTCGGGACAAGTCTCTGAATGTCCTTGAGTGGCCCAGCCAAAGCCCAGACTTGAACCCGATCGAACATCTCTGGAGAGACCTGAAAATAGCTGTGCAGCGATGCTCCCCATCCAACCTTACAGAGCTTGAGAGGATCTGCAGAGAAGAATGGGAGAAACTCCCCAAATACAGATGTGCCAAGCTTGTAGCGTCATACCCAAGAAGACTCAAGGCTGTAATCGCTGTCAAAGGTGCTTCAACAAAGTACTGAGTAACGGGTCTGAGTACTTACAGTGGGGAGAACAAGTATTTGATACACTGCCGATTTTGCAGGTTTTCCTACTTACAAAGCATGTAGAGGTCTGTAATTTTTTATCATAGGTACACTTCAGCTGTGAGAGACGGAATCTAAAACAGAAATCCAGAAAATCACATTATATGATTTTTAAGTAATTAATTTGCATTTTATTGCATGACATAAGTATTTGATCACCTACCAACCAGTAAGAATTCCGGCTCTCACAGACCTGTTAGTTTTTCTTTAAGAAGCCCTCCTGTTCTCCACTCATTACCTGTATTAACTGCACCTGTTTGAACTCGTTACCTGTATAAAAGACACCTGTCCACACACTCAATCAAACAGACTCCAACCTCTCCACAATGGCCAAGACCAGAGAGCTGTGTAAGGACATCAGGGATAAAAGTGTAGACCTGCACAAGGCTGGGATGGGCTACAGGACAATAGGCAAGCAGCTTGGTGAGAAGGCAACAACTTTTGGCGCAATTATTAGAAAATGGAAGAAGTTCAAGATGACGGTCAATCACCCTTGGTCTGGGGTTTCCATGCAAGATCTCACCTCGTGGGGCATCAATGATCATGAGGAAGGTGAGGGATCAGCCCAGAACTACACGGCAGGACCTGGTCAATGACCTGAAGAGAGCTGGGACCACAGTCTCAAAGAAAACCATTAGTAACACACTACGCCGTCATGGATTAAAATCCTGCAGCGCACACAAGGTCCCCCTGCTCAAGCCAGCGCATGTCCAGGCTTGTCTGAAGTTTGCCAATGACCATCTGGATGATCCAGAGGAGGAATGGGAGAAGGTCATGTGGTCTGATGAGACAAAAATAGAGCTTTTTGGTCTAAACTCCACTCACCGTGATTGGAGGAAGAAGAAGGATGAGTACAACCCCAAGAACACCATCCCAACCGTGAAGCATGGAGGTGGAAACATCATTCTTTAGGGATGCTTTTCTGCAAAGGGGACAGGACGACTGCACCGTATTGAGGGGAGGATGGATGGGGCCATGTATCGCGAGATCTTGGCCAACAACCTCCTTCCCTCAGTAAGAGCATTGAAGATGGGTCATGGCTGGGTCTTCCAGCATGACAACGACCTGAAAAACACAGCCAGGGCAACTAAGGAGTGGCTCCGTAAGAAGCATCTCAAGGTCCTGGAGTGGCCTAGCCAGTCTCCAGACCTGAACCCAATAGAAAATCTTTGGAGGGAGCTGAAAGTCTGTATTGCCCAGCGACAGCCCCGAAATCTGAAAGATCTGGAGAAGGTCTGTATGGAGGAGTGGGCCAAGATCCCTGTCACGCCCTGACTCTGAGGACTCTTATTTGTTGAGTCAGGGTGTGATTTTCCTTGTTGTGTATGTTCCTATGTGTTATTTTCTAGGGTTGGATCTAGTATGTATAGATCTATGTTGGCCTGTGTGGTTCCCAATCAGAGGCAGCTGTTGCTCGTTGTCTCTGATTGGGGACCATACTTAGGCAGCCTATTGGCACTAGTGGGTTGTGGGATCTTGTTCCGTGTGAGGTTTGTTGTGTGTACCGTAGGACGTCACGTATCGTTAATTTGTTATTTTGTCGTGGTGTTTATTCAATATATAAATAAACATGAATGCTTATCACGCTGCGCCTTGGTCCTTCTCGTTCGTCAACGATCGTGACAGAAGATCCCACCAGATTAGGGGGGCCATTGGTTCAGAGGGAGCAGAAGGAAAGTGTAGAGGCACGGCGAGGAGGAGCAGAGAGGATGGACTTGGGAGGAGATGAGCGAGAGGCTGGCAAGAGGTATGGAGGCCCTGATCACGGTGGAGAGACAATCCCCCAAATAATTTTTTGGGGGGGCACACGGTGTGGACGACGAGGCAGCAGGAGGCCGCGACAGGGTGGTTCAGCTGGTTAGGCAGCAGAAGGAGCGGGGGTTAATGAAGGAACCCAGTCCCGCTCCTCGCACCAATCAAGTGGTGCGTGTCGCCAGTCCGGTCCGGCCCGTTCCTGCTCCCCGCACTAAGCCAGTGGTGCGTGTTCCCAGTACGGCCCGACCCGTTCCTGCTTCCCGCACTAAGCCAGTGGTGCGCGTCGCCAGTCCGGTTTGTTGTGTGTACCGTAGGACGTCACGTATCGTTAATTTGTTATTTTGTCGTGGTGTTTATTCAATATATAAATAAACATGAATGCATATCACGCTGCGCCTTGGTCCTTCTCGTTCGTCAACGATCGTGACAATCCCTGCTGCAGTGTGTGCAAACCTGGTAAAGACCTACAGGAAACGTATGATCTCTGTAATTGCAAACAAAGGTTTCTGTACCAAATATTAAGTTCTGCTTTTCTGATGTATCAAATACTTATGTCATGCAATAAAATGCTAATGAATTACTTAAAAATCATACAATGTGATTTTCTGGATTTTTGTTTTAGATTCCGTCTCTCACAGTTGAAGTGTACCTATGATAAAAAATTACAGACCTCTACATGCTTTGTAAGTAGGAAAACCTGCAAAATCGGCAGTGTATGGGGACCCATGGGGCGGCGCACAATTGGCCCAGCGTCGTCCAGGGTAGGGGAGGGAATGGCTGGCAGGGATGTAGCTCAGTTGGTAGAGCATGGCGTTTGCAACGCCAGGGTTGTGGGTTCGATTCCCACGGGGGGCCAGTATGAAAAATAAAATATAATGTATGCACTCACTAACTGTAAGTCGCTCTGGATAAGAGCGTCTGCTAAATGACTAAAATGTAAATGTAAAATGTTTCAAATACTTGTTCTCCCCACTGTATGTAAATGTGATATTTCCGTTTTTTATTTTTAATACATTTGCTAACATTTCTAAAGCCCTGTTTTTGCATTGTTATTATGGGGTATTGTGTGTAGATTGATGTGGGGGGGAATTATTTAATCCACTTTAGAATAAGGCTGTAAAGTCAAGGGGTCTGAATACTTTCCGAATTAGTATTAATGCATTAAAAAGTTTATAGTCAGTCAGAGTGTAGTTGACATATGACATATGCATACAATGACTTACTCTGTCTGCTGTTAAACAGTACTTATCCAGACAATATTGAGATGTCTGGATGTGTTCTCATTTCAAGTGATGATATTACCAGTAATATACTTTTATGTTATTATTTTGTATTAAGCTTAAATTGTATAAACTATACTTTTAAACTGTACATGGAATTGTAATATTAAAGCCGTATTTGCCTGTTCTTTTATATCTAACTTCTGTTTCAAAGATGACGTCATGGGTGGCTTTGCCCTAACTTTGCACGGTTGTTGAATGGCGGGGTTGTTTGGGATAGTTGGGAAATGCTGCTTTGTCTGTCAACGAAATTCAGTCTGCAAACTTCTCCCAACCAAATAAAGTGTTATAGAATTGGCAGGAGCAAACAGACAAATCCATTAGCCTATTTCTGTAAAGAGGAATATTTTCTTCAACAAACTATGTATCGATTACATGGGGGGTGCCTTAGTTTTTCAATGCATAGTCATGATATTCAGTCAGGTGTGAAAGTAGATTTCATTTCCTACCGGTACTGGACACCCAAAGGCGCGCACATGTTGTTGTTTTTTTGTTGTATACTACAAAAATTACAGTGTAGCCTATTCTGCTGACACTGACAAACAGATTCATAAAACGATGTTGCGGGAGACACTACGAAAAGGGGAGACACAAATACAATTTGACGTCCATCTAACCTGGAGGAGGAAATTATTGTCCAAAAACAAATAAATGTGGCACTGACCCAATGATAAAGACAATGAATATGCACACTCACCGGGGCTTACACTTGTAGCCTGAATTGATGCATCCACTCGCCTTGACAAAATGTAAGTGTTCTCCTCAAACAACAACGCAATTTGGAGCATATACCACCCAGTTTCAAGTCAATTCGCTAATTTTTCATGCGACTGACATGCAGTAATGTTAAATAATGGTGTAATAGCCTATAGTTTTTTGGGCTTGTTTTATTAATTGTCATAGGCTCACTTTTTACCGGTACAGCGTACCACTATTTATTTTACCGGGACGCCAAACCTGACCTTACTTTCACCTCAGTGTAGTATATACAGCTCGCGGGTTTTATCAGCTAAATATGACATATTCCTCTATTTTATATTTTCTGTAGTTTTAATTAAGAATCCACTTGCATCTCGTGCATTACAAGCAGAACCCTTTTCAGCACAATGGACAGGTTTCTCTGCGCCCTCCGCACGTTTCCCCGCCGTGCGCTTCTGCTCTGCCTCGCCAAGATGTTAAATCATGCATAAAGGCATCACGACAACGGCTCATCATATTCAGCGACCAGATTCATAGTAGCATTGTGCAGATTTACACCTTAACGTATCACTTAGTTATAACTTCCACAATTTGTTTTGTTTTTAGTAAGTAAATGTGATGTTTTTTTGCGGTGCATTCTGTCATTCCAGTTTCACTGGAGGCATACCAACACCTTGCGAAACAATAACTGGTTTTGTCTTGCGGACTTAGTTAGGGCTAATGTGACAGGTTGAGGTAGGTAACTTAAGAGTTGTATGGAAAAAATAGAATATCAGACAAACTGTCATGCCTTTTCTATCTTGCAGACCTTGGTTCACAGCATCATCAGCTGTGAGCTGTCCTTCAAAACACTTGCCTTAACTTAAAACGGAGTCGCCTCATTTACAAGCAGTTTATGCACTTGCACTGACGTCAATGGAGCTATCTTGGATGTATATAACAGTTCAGACAGAGGCGGTCTACTACAATCGCCATTAGCGGGACTTTTCGGACCGTGTTCTCCATTGACACTTTTCCAGACTTTTTCAGCACCAGGAGACGATCAAGTAAGTGGTTCATTTTGCTTTCTTTTGTTGCACTTTTTTAGTTTGAGGTGCACACTCACTTGGTATCACTTTCTAACTTCATCTAGATACTTGCGGTTCAACTCTGCTTCTGGCTCTCGATCCTTGCAATTTCGGTGATGAGTTGAGAATATCAAGGACACAGGAATTCGTTGGTCATTTTTGTATCATGGAAACAATGATTAGGTTCATTTATGTATTTACAAAGCTAAAGAAACCTCTGCATGCTTGTTTCAGTAACGATGTATGTATATTGTGTGCCAATTAACCTCGTCTATGATCTACTTTGTTTATTGCACGTTTCAATAGGCTACAATAAATAGCCTACTGTTGTTTATTACTGTTTAAGTTTGCCTTTAAGCATTTAGTAAGAATGAGCCTATTTGTATTTGCTTTAGACACTATGACCACATAAGTGCAATTTAAAGTTTTAGCGTACTTTGAGTTCAGTGCTTTTTCCTAATATTTTTACACCTCTCTCCATAACAGGGCACCGTTTTGTTCGTCTGTCCATCACTATGAAGCCTGTTCCCCTGGTCCTGCTCCTTGCCGCTGTTCTCCTCACCTCTCACATCCCCCCCAGTGTCTGTCGACCACAGGACCTGGCCATGTTCAACGGGCACGGCTACAAGAGTCAGCTGGATGAGGTGTTGCAGAAGGCTGGCGATGCAGTTTCCTACCTTATCGGAGAAAAGATACTGCGTTATTTGCAGAAAAATCCCCGGTTGCAAACAGGTTTCCCCCCACAGTTTCCCTTTGAGGTGACGCCCCTGGGCTCGATGGGTCTTGGTCACCTGGCGCGCAGTTTGCCGCCATTTGAGCAGCAGCGCGCGTCAGAGGAGGTCAACAGCCTGGAAGACTTCGTGGAGTTGACCAAGAGAAACGATGACCCGCCGATCTCCATCGACCTCACTTTCCACCTGCTGAGAAATATGATCGAAATGGCGAGGATCGAGAGCCAGAAGGAGCAAGCAGAGTTGAACCGCAAGTATCTAGATGAAGTTGGAAAGTGATACAAAGTGTCATCAACAAGGGAGAAAACATAAAAAAAGATTTCGCGTCAAAAAAGCCCCTGGCACTCTCCCACGAAATAGTTTCGATTTTTCTTTGCATTTAACCTTTGGTTTCTCTGTCATTCCTCATGCCTCAACCTGTGCGTAAACGGAACTTCCCCACCTATCCAAAAAGCCTTTCAAAATCAACGGGCTATAAAATGATTGACTACTAGTCTACCAAGACCCCAGCTACAGTGTATTCATAGTGGACGACTGGAATACTGTTCTTTGAGATATGGCATAGTGTGTGAATACTCCGGATTTCACACCTCTATTCTCACATTTGGATGTCCGGAACATTGTAGTAGGCCTACAACAATAATATTGTCAGAATCAAATTGTGTTATAAGTTGCACTAATGTGGAATAAGTGCAACATGTTTTATTAGTACGGGCCTAACTAAGATTTGATGTCAACAGTAGCATAAATGGTTGGTACAAGGTTAATAACAATGACATATAGGCTAATCATTACACTGAAGTTTCCAGCAATAAATATCAAAAGAACAAATGCTATAGCCCTATAACACATTGCCAAAGGAAAATGATGCTGTGTAAATTGATATTGGATATGCTCTTATGATCTTGAATGATTTTTGATGGCAGGTAGCCTAGCGGTTAAGAGCGTTGGGACAGTAACCAAAAGGACACTGGTTTGAATCCCTGAGCCGACTAGGTGATAATTTTGTTTTGTTTATGGTGATTATTCATTTGCCCTTGTTTGGTTAGCTCACTTGGCAGACAACCATCCAGCCAGTAGAAGAAGCCTTTTCACATTGATCCAGGTATGCTGGTATGGGATCTGGTAGTGCCCAAGCTTTTTTGTGATACAACTAATCTATAATTTTATCTGGGACAAAGTGAACATATCCTACACTTTACACCACTCCCACTCTCCTCCTTATTATTTTCATCCGAGTGACCTGTCCTCTGTGGTACTGCATGCTTACCTTAAAGAAGAAAAAAAGAAAATGCTTAATATTATGTTGACTGTTTTGTCAAAATCCCAATCATCTGGACATATCTTATGATCCCATGGTTTAGCAGTAAAGAAAAGCTTTTTTGCCATTTATATTTTGTAATAAAAAAAGTTCTGAAAAAAATTATATTGACTCTGTCATAGTCTCTTACAGTAGTGAATGTAGTAAAGGAAACTATTCTGCTGACTTGTATGATGTTATAGTCATGTCTTCTCTGACTACCAAAATAGTTTATTCCTACATCTGTAAACAGATGCTGCTGAGGTTCCTCTTACCCATTGAAATACAAAACCTGAGTAGTAAATTCTGGCTAAACACTCATTGCAAAATGTCTATGACCAAACATGCATTGCAGTCATCGCCTTTAACTCTCATTAACGAGTTAACTTAACAGCAGTTGCCTGTCTTCTTTTTAAATGCATAATGTGGAAGCCTACATAATGGTGTACTGGTTGGTGCAAGTCGATGCGAACTTGTGAGAGCTTGTCAAAATGGCCCCCGACCTGGCGTTTCTACTATACGACTCTGCTCTGTCAGACAGCTCTGTCAGACTGTCCGTATGATGGAATTCTGCTGCCTTGTTCCTCGCTGTGTTAACACCTTAGAGATACATTCAATTACTGATCCCGCTGGAATCAAAGCAGCAGCCGTAGCTCTGGGTCAGGGTTGGTAGCGCAAACATTTACTCAGAAAAGGAGAGGGAAGATATCACAATGAAATGTATGTTTAATAAAATGATGTAAGCTGAGGCTAAAAAGTGCATAAACTATACTGTCGGAGCATTCAGTTCTCTTCATATACTTTCAGAAGTAGGCTTTCAGCTGCTTCAGTCTCTATAATATTAGTCATACTTTTTTATTCAAGGCACTTGTGGAACTCTTGTCAAAGTAAAGTTTGTTGAAGAGGAAGTAGCAGGATAATCACAAGCACTAGAAGGAGTGTTAGGTGAGAAAAAACAACAATATTCTTCCTACTTCACAACATGCACAATTCAAACCAACAGTGGGATACATTTCATTGGATTATACTTAGCTTATCAAATGTACACACAATACATGGGCTTTTGTACATATCTGATGTGGGTGGCGAGGGAGGCCTTCAACTGTGTGATGTTTGAGCTTTATTCTCCATTGTAGATCTGTAATTCACTCAATGTAAATACTGTGGACAGCAAAACCAGTTGACAGCAGAATGGTAAATGCAAACATCAATACTCTGGATGGATGTGCGCAGGGGATTACCATAAACCCACTAAGTAGTCCTTTCTTGACTGGAAGAACCCTGATTAAAACAAAAGAGGAGATTGATTAATGTGAGTTGAGCATGACAATCTCATAGCATCACCATTGTCTTCATTTCCTGTTAGACTGGGTCTATTTTTGAAGTCGAACATTAAACGGGAGCACCAAGTGGGAGAGGAGAGGACACTGTGTTTTGTCTGTTGACATGAATATACTATGACTCTCCTCATTACGTAGTGGAGGGAGATTCTCTGCTTCCGGCTGTTAAAGATTCTGTGTAATTGTATTAATGTCCTTTGGAAATGTAAAATTTGCTCCATAGTTTTCAGCAATGTCTGCTATAGTTTCCCCTTAAATTCTATGAGTCAGAGATATGAGAAACCCCACTTAGTTAACCCCTTCCAGTCCTGTACATGTCATGGATTGTGGAATTGGCCACTCTGTTCTGTGTCATCCTTCATGTAGTGTGAAGAATTATTGATGGAACAGCTTGTTGCCAGAAAACTGTGTGTCGACCTCAGATCACTGGCAGCCATCAGACACTGATCAATCTCCATTCATAGTCAGGGAACTCTCGCTGTGGTGAGCACACACACACCCCATCAATTACTCCCAGCTCTGTCTCGCCTCTCGTGTGTCCCCCCTCCCTCTCCCTTCCTTCCTGCAATCAGAGGTCGACAGCTCCGGGGGCTCTCCTGTGAGCACCCAGGCTCAGGGCCATATATCCACAACAACCCCAACCCCATCACACGCAGGGTGGGCGCTAGTTATTTATAACTATTATAAGTAATGACACGGGTTACAGAAACATGGCTCAGATCTGTGTGTGTGAGACACAGGAGAGGTCTATTCTTCACTACCTGTCAGGCTGAGGTCCCAACCCAAGGCACTAGGAGGCAGAGCTTTTTAACAGAGCTGAATGCCCAGTGTGAGGGCCATGATCTATACTAAGCCAAAATCAAAAGCATTGTCATTGTCAGTCCAACAAGGTAAAGCCCAATCAAAACATCAGACTCCTCACTTGGGAGTTTCTGGTTGAAACTTTAATCATGTATAAATGATAGCCCAGTCAACAACCGCTCCTCCATCTCTCCCTAGAGTATCTGTCCGTGGCCATTCATGAAATGTGTACTTCCAGTTCATTAATCTTTGGCATGTTACAGTGAAGCTGTGAGGCCGAAGGGTCCCCTGGCTTTAAGCAGGATCGTTACACCTTTGGAGGTAGCTAAGGGAATATGGAATTAATTTATCACTGAGAGGAGAAAGAATGCCTGGTCTCTCCATTTGAAATGAGTTGGCTGTGGGGTAAACAAGACAAGTGATCCATCCATATTCTAGAGATTAAACACTTGATTTCAGCCTTTATGGCAATGTTTAAGACTGATGTCAGTAGAAACAATATACAGTATAACTATATTTAACAGCCTTTGTGTTTGTAGCCTAAACGTAGTAAATATGTGTAAGGGAATAAAGCAGGGGAGCAGCATACCATGTGCTGCTTTTTCTTTCTTTGACCCTTTTCAACTACTGGTATCGCCCATAGTCTACGTCCACCGCTGTCAGTGATGCCAAGTCCTCACCCAGATCATAACCATCCTCTCCGACCTTTCCCTGGGAACCTGCGACCACACAGAAAGCACCACATTAAGACAGACCAACAAAAACAAGGGAAATAGCCTTGAACATGCAATGGAAAATAGTTTTGGGGGGTAATGTACGGAGCTGAACATCCGTCAGGGCCTTGAGGCTAGAGTCATGTATAGAGAAACTTAAAAGTGGCCAAACTCTCCATATATGGTCGTATTGTACAGCTACCTGAGGCCCTACCTGTGTTGAAGTCAATGGTCCTCAGCACGTCTGCCACATTCTCTGTGTTGATGACAAAATGGGCCTTGCTCTCGTAGCCCGGCTCTGGACGTTCCATATTGGACACCTTAGCAGAGACAAACAAATAGGAGGTGACAGACAGGACAGCGATGGATGGCAGCGTCCTCTGTCCCCCGTGTGGCTGGTAGTGACGCATGCTGGGTGGATATGCTCGATAACTCTACAGGTGGAGAGCTTCATTATAATGTATTAGCTATCAGCAGCCAGCCATCAGACATTACTGCAAATCACACGCATCTCCTATGCAGTTACTTTAGCTTCATAGTCAATGCAATTGGTGTGTTAGTTTATGTGAATATTTGTGTTATGTAATGCTATTTGTGATTTTCCAGCTAAACAGCCCATAAGAAGCAGAATGGAACACTAAACAGACGAAAACAAGAATGTTACTTACTGTTTAAATATATCCTTGAGGCTCTGTGGAGAAAATAAACGATCAGCAGGCTATTGCATTTAGTTTCATTTCCAGCACTTAATTTCTGAGGTCAATTAGTGCTATATCTAAATTAGAATGAGTTTGTTGATTTTGTATCATTTGAATTCATTTACATTTCATTTTCATATCTGCTTCTTCTCTCAATCTTCTGAACCACTCGCTCAGCTTGAGTCATTCAGAAAACATGCACCTGCCACCATCCTGCCACTCGCTGCTAGCGCTACCTGCTAACCAGCTGACAAAACAAAGGGAGCAATGAGGGAGATGAAAAAAGAGACTTAAGTTACGAGCCTTCAGTCGATTTGTAGCTTTTTATAGAGCAAGGGACCCGAGTGGAAGAGAGGAGTGCTGGATGGATGGATGGATGACATGAATGGTACCATCTATCTCTCGCCTGGCGGGTTTTTTTACTACCGGCTGTCTGCAGCAGGAGCACGTCATCCAACCTGGCTCTGTTCCAAGGACAGTATTGATGGCCAGGGGGCCAGAGGTCAAAGAATGAGGCAGGTGTCCCATGCAGAGGTGTGTGTGTGTGTGTGTAGGTTTGTCGCCAGTTGATCAATGTCTGACCCCTGAGGCTGGTACTCCGAGGATGCTTCCACTGGGTTACAGTGTGCATGTAATGGGAAATTAAGATTAATAAAGTTCATAGTCAGTTAAGATGAACACAATGTATTATAACTTTCCTTTCTGGAACACATGATTCTGTTCTGTGCAAGGTTGATGGTCACAAGACTTGTATTCTAGACCTGAATGTAATGGACAGTTCTCATATCTGCTGATAGTGTTGGTGCCTGTTCCGAGGACACACTGGTTATTATTCTGTGAGACTGTGTGAGTCATTGCTTTGTGTTATCTTTAGTTATGTGTTTCCAGAACATATGATTAGGCCTGCTTAGAGAACGCTCATGAGACATCTGCTCTGCTTCTGTGCTGGAGGTGTCTCCCTGTTGCAACTTGTATTAAACCAGATATATTTTTGATTGACATTACCAATGACTGCTCTCCCTTTCACCTGGAAATTCTCTTTACAGTGCATGATCAGAGAACCACAGGACCAGAGTTCCCAGGGGGGCTCTTGAAAGCAGCGTGCCCGCCGACGAGGCTCCCCTGCTGGGCTTTCTGCTTTTCACTCCTCCCCTGCTCGATACGGCAAAGCCGGAGAAAGCGAAGCACTGCACGACACCCCGTTGATTATCGATAGTGAAGGTTTCTCTAAACCTGATCTAAAGGATGAAAGGCTCCTTCACTGCATCTTCGGGCATAAAAATGAGCCTGATGTGGAGTGGACTGTCATTTGTTTAGGTCAGGGGTGAAACGGGGGACTATAGTGTCTATAGTGTCTGTGACTCATCATACTGTGATTACCTTATCATGTCTCATGTGGATTGGGACCAGCTAACAACTGACCCAGAGAAATTGATCACACAACTGATCCTATTACAGTCCTTTGTTGAGGGTCACCTGACTCATAGGCTACCTTTAGGGCTACTGATCCTAAGACAGTGAAACATTAGCTACCTAAAGGAACACTGATCCTCGTCCAGTTTACAAGGGCTAAAACAGGCAAATTTTCTGCTCAAGAAGTTACATCTGACAATCATTCAATTCCATTACATGACATACCGGTACACACCCCAGGTCCAGTTACTGAGGCCAGACAGTGCACCCAGGTTCAGTGCTAGTGTTCCATCCATAGTGCCTACTTGTAGGAACACGGCCATCTCTGGTTCCTCCATGGACTGGATGGCTGTCTCCACCAGCTTGACGGTGCCCTCCAGGTAGTCGTGGCGACGGATGAGGGAGCGGATGTAGTCCAGCTTGTCATCCTGCTGATCATCCCCACCAACTCCTTCTTCCTCTCCTCCAGGATGGCATACAGCCCGTCAAACTTACCACACAGACTCTGCTTCTGACGACGCCCGTTCTGCTGCACACAGACACCCATTGGTAACACCTAATAATAACTTTCATGAAAAGCCCTTATAAATGTTTAGTATACAATACCAGTCAAAAGGTTGGACACACCTGCTCATTCAAGGGTTTTTCTTTATTTTTACTATTTTCTACATTGTAGAATAATAGTGAAGACATCAAAACCATGAAATAACACATATGGAATCATGTAGTAACCAAAAAAGTGATAAAAACAAATCCAAATATATTTTAGATTTTAGATTCTTCAAAGTAGCCACACTTTGCACACTCTTGGCATTCTCTCAACCAGCTTCATGAGGTAGTCACCTGGAATGCATTCCAATTAACAGGTGTGCCTTGTTAAAAGTTAATTTAACTTAATGCATTTGAGCCAATCAGTTGTGTTATGACAAGGTAGAGTTGGTATACAGAAGATAGCCCTATTTGGTAAAAGACCAAGTCCATATTATGGCAAGAACAGCTCAAATAGGCAAAGAGAAACAACAGGCCATCATTACTTTAAGACATGAAGGTCAGTCAATCCGGAAAATCTCAGTCGCAAGAACCATCAAGCGCTATGATGAAACTGGCTCTCATGAGGACCGCCACAGGAAAGGAAGACCCAGAGTTACCTCTGCTGCAGAGGATAAGTTCATTAGAGTTACCAGCCTCAGAAATTGCAGCCCAAATAAATGCTTCACAGAGTTCAAGTAACAGACACATCTCAACATCAACTGTTCAGAGGAGACTGCATGAATCAGGCCTTCATGGTCAAAATGCTGCAAAGAAACCACTACTAAAGGACACCAATAAGAAGAAGAGACTTGCTTCGGCCAAGAAACACAAGCAATGGACATTAGACCAGTGGAAATCTGTCCTTTGGTCTGATAAGTCCAAATTTGAGAGTTTTGGTTCCAACCGCCATGTCTTTGTGAGATGCAGAGTAGGTGAACGGATGATCTCCACATGTGTGGTTCCCACCGTGAAGCATGGTGGAGGAGGTGTGATGGTGTGGGTGTGCTTTGCTGGTGACACTGTCGGTGATTTATTTAGAATTCAAGGCACACTTAACCAGCATGGCTACCACAGCATTCTGCAGCAATATGCCATCCCATCTGGTTTGGGCTTAGTGGGACTATCATTTGTTTTTCAACAGGACAATGACCCGACACACCTCCAGGCTGTGTAAGGGCTATCTGACCGAGAAGGAGAGTGATGGAGTGCTGCATCAGATGACCTGGCCTTCACAATCACCCGACCTCAACCCAATTGAGATGGTTTGGGATGAGTTGGACCGCAGAGTGAAGGAAAAGCAGCCAAGTGCTCAGCATATGTGGGAACTCCTTCAAGACTGTTGGAAAAGCATTCCAGGTGAAGCTGGTTGAGAGAATGCCAAGAGTGTGCAAAGCTGTCATCAAGGCAAAGGGTGGCTACTTTGAAGAATCTAAAATAGAAAATATAGTTTGATTTGTTTAACACTTTTTTGGTTACTACATGATTCCATATGTGTTAGTTTTGATGTCTTCACTATTGTTCTACAATGTAGAAAATAGTAAAAATAAAGAAAAACCCTTGAATGAGTAGGTGTGTCCAAACTTTTGACTGGTACTGTATATATATATATACAGTGGGGAAAAAAAGTATTTAGTCAGCCACCAATTGTGCAAGTTCTCCCACTTAAAAAGATGAGAGAGGCCTGTAATTTTCATCATAGGTACACGTCAACTATGACAGACAAATTGAGAAAATGTTTTCCAGAAAATCACATTGTAGGATTTTTAATGAATTTATTTGCAAATTATGGTGGAAAATAAGTATTTGGTCAATAACAAAAGTTTCTCAATACTTTGTTATATACCCTTTGTTGGAAATGACACAGGTCAAACGTTTTCTGTAAGTCTTCACAAGGTTTTCACACACTGTTGCTGGTATTTTGGCCCATTCCTCCATGCAGATCTCCTCTAGAGCAGTGATGTTTTGGGGCTGTCGCTGGGCAACACGGACTTTCAATTCCCTCCAAAGATTTTCTATGGGGTTGAGATCTGGAGACTGGCTAGGCCACTCCAGGACCTTGAAATGCTTCTTACGAAGCCACTCCATCGTTGCCCGGGCGGTGTGTTTGGGATCATTGTCACGCTGAAAGACCCAGCCACGTTTCATCTTCAATGCCCTTGCTGATGGAAGGAGGTTTTCACTCAAAATCTCATGATACATGGCCCCATTCATTCTTTCCTTTACACGGATCAGTTGTCCTGGTCCCTTTGCAGAAAAACAGCCCCAAAGCATGATGTTTCCACCCCCATGCTTCACAGTAGGTATGGTGTTCTTTGGATGCAACTCAGCATTCTTTGTCCTCCAAACACGACGAGTTGAGTTTTTACCAAAAAGTTATATTTTGGTTTCATCTGACCATATGACATTCTCCCAATCCTCTTCTGGATCATCCAAATGCACTCTAGCAAACTTCAGACGGGCCTGGACATGTACTGGCTTAAGCAGGGGAACACGTCTTGCACTGCAGGATTTGAGTCCCTGGCGGCGTAGTGTGTTACTGATGGTAGGCTTTGTTACTTTGGTCCCAGCTCTCTGCAGGTCATTCACTAGGTCCCCCCGTGTGGTTCTGGGATTTTTGCTCACCGTTCTTGTGATCATTTTGACCCCATGGGGTGAGATCTTGCGTGGAGCCCCAGATCGAGGGAGATTATCAGTGGTCTTGTATGTCTTCCATTTCCTAATAATTGCTCCCACAGTTGATTTCTTCAAACCAAGCTGCTTACCTATTGCAGATTCAGTCTTCCCAGCCTGGTGCAGGTCTACAATTTTGTTTCTGGTGTCCTTTGACAGCTCTTTGGTCTTGGCCATAGTGGAGTTTGGAGTGTGACTGTTTGAGGTTGTGGACAGGTGTCTTTTATACTGATAACAAGTTCAAACAGGTGCCATTAATACAGGTAACGAGTGGAGGACAGAGGAGCCTCTTAAAGAAGAAGTTACAGGTCTGTGAGAGCCAGAAATCTTGCCTGTTTGTAGGTGACCAAATACTTATTTTCCACCATAATTTGCAAATAAATTCATTAAAAATCCTACAATGTGATTTTCTGGATTTCTTTTCCTCATTTTGTCTGTTATAGTTGACGTGTACCTATGATGAAAATTACAGGCCTCGCTCATCTTTTTAAGTGGGAGAACTTACACAATTGGTGGCTGACTAAATACTTGTTTTCCCCACTGTGTATATATATATATATATATATATATATTAATAGTTTATAAATAATGTATTAATACTTATTGATGATAGTTATTACAATACAACAGGTTGTTCACAGTGATGTGTGTGACTGTGCAGTGAGAGGTGTGAGTGGTTGTAGTGGGGGACATTCTCACCTGGATGGACCTGCAGGTCTCCTCCATCTGAGAGAGGAGGGCCTGGATACGGTCGTTCCCCGCCACCAAGATGGCGATGCCGTCACTCAGCTCTGTCAACATAGCATGATGGGTCAATGTCTGTACTCACCAAGTGATAGTCCTGGAGGACTACAGGATATGAAGGCTTTTATTCCAACCCTCAACTGACACATTAGGTAGTAGTTCACACAATTGTGATGATTGATTCAATATTTAAATCTTCAAAGTGTTGTTTTTAAACAATGCATAAAACATTAGCTGAAGCTGCTCCTAAACTTTCCTCATCTGCATTTGTAATGAATGATTCATAGTGAGAGAGTGAGCAATGAGTGCGAGGCACAATGTCACCAAAGCCACCTGCTCAATACCATGTCTGATGTTATAGTCCATTCAAACACACTGCTTTTAGCTTATGAAAGTAGATACAGTAAATATGTAACGTGTATGTATCATGTTTGTGTGGGTGGCTTCCCCTTCAGTATTACTCAACAGCCGGACACATTGTCCATCCTTAACAACTGACCTTCACTTTGATATTAGTCACTGTTCACTTGGATGCTGTAGGGGAAAGCTACATTCTTAGAAAAAAAAGGTGCTATCAAGAACCTAAAAGGGTTCTTCGGCTGTTCCCATAGGATAACCCTTTGAATAACTATACTGAACAAAAATATAAACGGAACATGCAACAATTTCAACAATTTTACTGAGTTCAGGAAATCAGTTAATTGAAATTAATTAATTAGGCTCAAGACAATCCCGCAGGTCAAGAAGCCGGATGTGGAGCTCCTGGGCTGGCGTGGTTAGACGTGGTCTGCGGTTGTTAGGCTGGTTGCACATACTGCCAAATTCTCTAAAACAACGTTTTAGGTGGCTTATGATAGAGAAATTAACATTCAATTATCTGGCAACAGCTCTGGTGGACACTCCTGACGTCAGCATGACAATTGCATGCTCCCTCAAAACTTGAGACATCTGTGGCATTGCGTTGTGACATAACTGCACATTTTAGAGTGGCCTTTTATTGTCCCCAGCACAAGGTCCACTTGTGTAATGATGATGCAATTTAATCAGCTTCTTGAGGTGGCTTATGATAGAGAAATTAACATTTAATTATCTGGCAACAGCTCTGGTGGACACTCCTGCCGTCAGCATGACAATTGCATGCTCCCTCAAAACTTGAGACATCTGTGGCATTGCGTTGTGACATAACTGCACATTTTAGAGTGGCCTTTTATTGTCCCCAGCACAAGGTCCACTTGTGTAATGATCATGCCATTTAATCAGCTTCTTGATATGCCACACCTGTCAAGTGGTTGGATTATCTTGGGAAAGGAGAAATGCTCAATAACAGGGATGTAAACAAATTTGTGCACAAAATGTGAGAGAAATAAGCTCTTTGTGTGTGGATTTTTTTTTTAGATCTTTTATTTCAGCACATGAAACATGGGACCAACACTTGTTGCATTATCTTTTTGTTCAGTATATTTTTGGTTGCAGGTAGAACCCTTTTCAGTTCCATATATACACACAATCTTAGCTGTAGTCGTACCACCAGGTTGACAGGGCCGTGTGTGTGTGCGTGCGTGCGTGCGTGCGTGCGTGTGCGGTGAGATTAAACCCCGCAGGGCAGCCATGACTCAACACATCTGTCTGCTGTCACTACACTTAGCACTCATAGAAAAACCACACACATACACACTCACTCTTTAAATAAGGCAGATCACATACACACACTGGCTCTACACTTTAAATAACATTCACATCTCTCTCTGGTGGACATTATGAATACAGACAGCGACTATAAGTAAGCTGTTATATTGGATCATTACTTTTCAGTGTAAGGACGATCTAACAGACAGACAGGCAGACAGACTACCAGACAGGAAGACAGACAGCTATAGAGATATTGAGTGACATCACAATCAGACCCTTGGCCCTGACTCAGGGTGCTCCATTACCTTCTGTCTCTTGTCGACGTTCTGCAGAGGGGCCACCTCACAGTCCTTGTGCTGGCCAAACCCTTTACACATGGAGCAGGTGGGCGTCTCACAGCTCAGGCAGTAGATGTTGACCATCTCCTCGTCATGCTCCTGACACATCAGCTGCTGCTGCTTCACCTTGGTGGGGTTCAGGGGCCTGCAGGGACACAGAAGTAAAGGGACAGCTTGTTAGACACACACACACAATCAGACAAACACACACACACATCCAGTACACATGCATACATGCGTGCAGACACATCAATGTACATATGCACACACACCTTATTTGGCTCTTCTGTCAATGGCACAGGAAATGGAAACAACTCTCAAGGCTTCAGATAATCAAGAAGGAATTAGGGGAATTAGGGGATTTCACCAACAGTTTACCTCATATGAAATGTACTACTATTGACCATTCCTATTCTCTAGAGGAATAGCCTACACATAGATAAAGAACAATTTACACATTTGATAAAAGGCATTGAGGAATATAATGTTGAGTGAAACTAGATAGATTGTTCATATAGCTCAAATCTGTGTTACAGACCAGAAGTACTTCCCTTGATGTAATTATATAATCTTTCATCTTTATTGTGTCAAGACAGGGCATGAAAAAGCTGTAATATTGCTACAGGTTTCTAAGTGATATCAACATTGGAAAAGACTGCCACCCAGCGGCCTTCTATACAAAATGAGAATGTGTATTCAGAGATGGGGCCCATTTCTGTCGTTGAAAAAATATATACAACATACTACACATTCAGCTATGGAATAAAAATTCATATAAGAAACAAAATAGCATGTTACATTTTACACCCTTTGTTAACAACCAAATAGACCAAGACAGAAGGCTTTTCAATAGAGCCCTAATGCGCTTTTACTACTAGAATGGATTACAGTACTGCACTCTACGGGTAAACAGACATTACTGCAATAGAATGTTCAGATTCCCACTGCCTCTGTCATACCACATCAGTGGCTAAATTGAGCCTTGGGTCAAAGAGAAAGCCAGACGAAGCCGAGATCCAGCACCTTACCGGTCCAAAGAGTAGTAGGATAGAAGGTAGGATAAAAGTTAACACAAACCCTAACCCTGGCATAACCCTAAACCTTACGTTCAACCATGGCTTAACCCTAACCCCTCCAAATAGGGCTCCCCCACCTCCAAATTCCCAATTTAACCCTTGCACCACTTGATATTGATCAGTGAATAATACCAGATAGACACTAGATCTATGTTACTCACAACCAACCCCCAGATACACACGTCTGTATCTGTATCAATGCCACAAGAGGACACATGGTTCTCCTGTTTACCGCTCCATCGAGGCAGGGATAAAGTGTGCTAGTTATAGCAACAATATGGAGGACACCGCCAGAGACGGAGGTTTCTATATTCCTGGTATGTTAACAGGACACAGCTGATGAACACACACAGAAGCGCTAGTGACACCATTAGAGTAGAATCAGATGCCTAGGTCTTTGCACCACTGACTGTGCAGGGCCTGTTGCATGAGAGATGAAACTGGAAACAATATTTCATGGTTGTAGCAGTAGTACACACTTGTGCTCATGGCATTTGTTGACATGCCATGTCCTTATGTCAACAGAGGTCAGCAGAAGTGTGTGTTGTATGGCAACACTGTATGGATAATGTTGACATATGAGCATTCTGGTTCTGGTGGATGCTTACAGAAGCCAGTCACGTACCCCTCACAGACCCAGACACACGCACACACCACTGACCTGCTGCACTCTTCTTGTCTGTAGATGTCTATGATGTTCTCTACTAGCAGGTTCCTCTGTAGGCCATACACACCATGGTAGTCCAACACTGCCTCGTGACAACACAACGGGTAGCGGAAACGACCCCCTGTGGACATGGACTTGGACCCCCGAGACTGCCACAGGGGTTGGCAGCCTGGGAGGGGGGTGAGGAGGGGGGGGGGGGTATTGAAGAGTAAAGGGAGGATATGGACAACAGCTGTTTGACACAGATATGTTGTCTACTCAAGAGGAAACCAAAACATGACTCTGCACTGAGTACAGACCCAACCACTGAGTTACATACCTCTTAAAGGTCCTAAAGGTGATATGATATCAAGAAGACTAACCTTGTTAGACACTTTAACCAGGATGGACCCACAACAAATGATCAAGTCAGTCAGTGTGAGGGACCTTTCACACAGAAACTAAAGTTTATCTACAGAGCCACTGATTCATCCATCCACCACTACATATTGGTTTGTATTGTTGCCTAGCAACAAACTGCTCAAAGCCTCTCCACTTGCACGTGAGCGGAGATTATCCTCTACAGTCGATACTTTATGACAAAGACCTCAACCTAAAGTGATGAAGGCTTGACACTGTAGACTGCTATGAATATTGAGGAAGGATAAATGGTTCACACTGTGTTGAATAACTTCCATAAATACATCTTATGTATCCTGTCTTGATCTGTGATAAGTAGTCCATTTGAATACTGTTTCCACTTCCCACTAATGGCCTGGGCCTGAGAGGCAGACCATGTTACATCCTCTCCTACAGGACTGAGGCAGCTGTTGGAGTCTCCCATTTCTGAATGGCTCCTCCAGTTTGAACAGTCAACTGAGGGGTTCAACAGGACAAAAGATATATGCAGGACCCCAATTACTTTCAGCAGCAGGCCGATTTTTTAATTGAGTGCAAGAGACTAGTCCCGAAGCCACTCCTGCGTTGTCTTGGCTGTGTGCTTAGGGTCGTTTTCCTGTTGGAAGGTGAACCTTCACCCCAGTCTGAGGTCCTGAGCGCTCTGGAGCAGGTTTTCATCAAGGATCTCTCTGTACTTTGCTCCGTTCATCGTTCCCTCGATCCTGACTAGTCTCCCAGTCCCTGCTGCTGAAAAACATTGCCACAGCATGATGCTGCCACCACCATGCTTCACCGTAGGGATGGTGCCAGGTTTCATCCAAATGTGGCGCTTGGCATTCAGGCCAAAGAGTTCAATCTTGGTTTCATCAGACCAGAGAATCTTGTTTCTCATGGTCTGAGAGTCCTTTAGGTGCCTTTTGGCAAACTCCAAGCGGGCTGTCATGTGCCTTTTACTGAGGAGTGCCTCCGTCTGGCCACTACCATAAAGGCCTGATTGGTGGAGTGCGGCAGTGATGGTTGTCCTTCTGGAAGGTTCTCCCATCTCCACAGAGGAACGCTGGAGCTTTGTCAGAGTGACCATCGGGTTCTTGGTCACCTCTTGGTCACCAAGGCCCTTCTCCCCCGATTGCTCAGTTTGGCCGGGCGACCAGCTCTTGGAAGAGTCTTGGTAGTTCCAAACTTCTTCCATCTAAGAATGATGGAGGCCATTGTGTTCTTGGGGACCTTCAATGCTGCAGAAATGTTTTGGTACCCTTCCCCAGATCTGTGCCTCGACATAATCCTGTCTCGGAGCTCTACGGACAATTCCTTCGACCTAATGGCTTAGTTTTTGCTCTGACATGCACTGTCAACTGTGGGATCTTATATAGACAGGTGTGTGCCTTTCCAAATCATGTCCAATCAATTGAATGTATCACAGGTGGACTTCAATCAAGTTGTAGAAACATCTCAAGGATGATCAATGGAAACAGGATGCACCTGTGCTCAATTTCAATTCTCATAGCAATGGGTCTGAATACTTACTGTATGTAAATAAGGTATTTCAGTTTTTTATTTTTAATACATTTGCAAAAATTTATAAAAACCTGTTTTCACTTTGTCATTATGGGGTATTGTGTGTATATTGATGAGGAAAAACAATAATTTAATCCATTTTAGAATAAGGCTGTAACGTAACAAAATGTGGAAAAAGGGTAGGGGTCTGAATACTTTCCGAATGCACTGTAAATAGAGAACATGTTCTGCTCTACCACTGTGATCCCCCTTAGAGCCATAACACCTCACTGTGTATTTTTTCCTTTCACAAGTAACTATGGGTGTCATGGGCAGTTAAAGCTAAACAACAATACTAATTTTACAGACGCTCTTATCCAGAGTGACTTACATAAGCAATTAGGGTTAAGTGCCTTGCTCAAGGGCACATTGACAGATTTTTCACTTAATCAGCTCAGGGATTTAAACCAGCGACCTTTCAGTTACTGGCCCAACGCTTTTAACTGCTAGCTACCTGCCACCCCATAAGACATGTACTGTAGCCCAGCACAAAGTTCATTTCAATCACTGGTCTGGAACTGACACTGTGAAGTTCTCTGAAGGGTCTGACTCTCTATGAAACTCTCAAGAAGAAAGATCTTTCTGTCCCTCTATCACTCTATCCCTCGATCTCTCTGCCTGTCTCTCATCCAACGTAAAGACCCTCCCTGCCAGATAAATATATTTAGCCTTTGTTTGTTATGGGTCAGGTTACTGCCCAAATTGCATGCCACTCTGGACTATGGGATTCCTAACCCCAGACCCACAGCACAAACCAGGGGTGTTAGAAGAGAGGAGGGAGAGATTCCTCTGTCCATTTTTACATCTGCAGTAAACTGATTGGGAGACAGACAGGCAGGCCCGTGCAGGCACATACACACACACTGGAATATTCAGTAGGGTGGGGGTGTATTAGAGGCCCCTGAGTTACTGGTGTGGTGGATATTTTAATCAATAATGAGGAGAGACAAGGTCAACCACCAATCAGGATATTAACTTTATTAAAATAACTTATTAATAAGGGAGCTGGTCGCAATACCCACACAACCAAGTGGATAGAGTGAGAGCCCAACAAACAGGAAATGCTGACGTCTTATATAGTGGACCTAAAAATGCTTAGTCATGGCTGGTTCCACCCCTCCCCGGCAGATCAGGAGCTACCTTGTTTTCTTCTTGTGGCTATGTGTATCGGGTCATAGCCCACAAACAAGTGATAATGTTAGATCCGTTACTGCCCATATCTCCACACATCTGTGCCCTGGGAAGATAGTAAAAGACAGGATGAACTGAAAAACTGTAGTCACTCTGAGGCTCTCTGTCTTGACCGTGTGACCAGGTTACTCAGAAGCAATGAGAAATTGAAACACTACAGGTCTATCTGTTCCTCAAGTTTATCTCTATCCCATGTCCTTGACTACACACCCAGACCAGCTCCAGGGAGCTAGAGGGAAGCGTCCTTATGAAAAGCACAGCATTGGTAGTTAAGAAATGTCTCTACTATTGTTAAGCATATTAATTGTTAACTATTAATATTAAACAAATCAGGTAAATACGTGATCTTTCTCTCACACTGGGCATGAGAGGGATAGCTGGTGCCGATGACGAGGCACTAAGAATGTAACACCACGTCAGTAACACAACACCAATCTAAAGCCTGCTGAACGCAGGCCAGTCTGGAGGCAGTCACTCACTGCTATTGGCATCACAACAAACACGACTCCACTCCATACTATATATTGTTGTGCTACTAGTAAATTACTCAAAACCGTTACTTGAGCAATGGGCAGCAATTATATGGCGTCCTACCGGTATGTTATTATCAATAGATACCCCAGGAAATAGCAGGCCCATATAAATTATGTTCATCTGAATATTTTCTACTTCAACTTCAACCTGCTCAATGTGCGTAATATGAAAAAAATATTATCAGTGATGGATATTCAAAAGATCTAAGCTTTAACGTGAGCCCATAAGAAAAGGGCTCAGCTGAGTAACCAATCGACCTGGAAATACTTTCTCTGACCCCGACCATCTGACCAGTGGCCCATGACGCTCAACCCTCCACTTCCTGGTTACTTAGCAGATGAGGTCATTGCTGAGATAAGGCTGAGCCATAGAGATAGAGGACTCATCTTTGTATCTGTGCCATTATAGCGTCTGTGACAGTATGGGCAGCACCATTGAGGCTACAACCCATAGGAATCCCCACCCAGTTGACTACTTTGACAACTTTAAAATGGCGGAAGCATGGTGGAAGCCCTCAATGGCGCTGCCCATGCTAAAACAACCTTTTGGCCACTAGAGGCCTCTATCATTTTCTATGCTCCCAACTCATAGGAATCCCCACCCAGTTGACTACTTTAAAATGCTGGAAGCCCTCAATGGCAACGCTAAAACAGGTTATATCCATAATGACTCTATTGATCTCTATGGGCTAAGCTGCTAATAAGCTTAAGGGGACATTTATAGGACATGGAGGCTTTATGCAGAGTAAGCCAAGCACACACCGTACCGTAACCGCTCACAGCCAAATCTCCATTTATACTTTACTCTACCTCCTGTTGCCTTTCTTTTACTGGGGTAGCCTACAGGCAGACACCCGCTTACAATGTCGCTAGTGTCACTACTGTGGCTAATGGCTACAATTGAGCTATTCCTGATAAAGAAGATAGTGTGTTTGGTACTTTTTCTCATGGCAGCAGATCATATCTTCACCAACGAGTGGTGTTCTTTTGCCGGAGAGAACAGAGAGAAAGCATAGCGTTCTTCTGTGAACAGATATACTTTGTTTGGTTCATGGAAAGCTGAGAGCCATTCCTTTGATATCACACTATCCATTCTCAGTGTTGTGTTCTCAATAACCAGACAATGACGCACATAGAAGACAAACATTGTACAAATCCCCCTTCTTTTAATTGTTTCAATTTCATTATATATAAATACACATTTACAGATAATTTTTGTCCATGAAGACATCATGGTGAATAATGAATGACATAATGAAAGCATTGACAAAATTACAATCATCAATCATTTCAGTGGCCGAGTCCCCATAGTCCCATGTCCTATAGGGGAGTGATGACATGGGGACAACCCTGTCCCTACACTCAGAGCAGATGGATATATACTCACTGTCTGCCTGCCTGCTACTGTAGACCAGAGCTATGGTGGCCTAGCCAGTTAGGACATAGCTTAGCTCCTCTGTCAACCAGTTGCCCAGACCCTTGGGAGGACCACTTTGGCTAGTCTAGGGTCCGCTCTTCCCAACTGTCAACGTGTTTTTTTAAAACAGCTCTTTCGGTTTGACATAAATAAATAAATAAATAAATGACAATGTACACCATTTAAAATGGGGTTGATTGTTAAAACATTTCCCATTTACAGGGATTCTCAAACAACGTTATTTGCATGTGACATGTGGTTGTGATTATTATTACAGCAGATAAGGATCACCAGAATAAATAAAGTATTTCTCCTCTCTGAGCCCTGGGTAGATACTGTTATGTTTATTATGGTTTGTGAAAACACACAACCAACAGACTGAAATTTAAGGAGGGTTTTGGCTATAAACTTACTGAAATGAAGAGGTGAGAAAAGGTGCTATAATTCCAGTAAGAAAATGAAGCTGCTAATAGATCATGTCTATGTAAACACTCAGGAGAGAGCTACAAAATATAAAATGGCTGCTTGACATCATTTGATGACATCCTTTTAGTTTAGCCTAACTTCAGGGTTGTTCTTCGGCCAAAACATAAGGTGGTTAACACCATGTACTAGCCGACTGACCTCAGCACTACATGAACAAACCAGTAACGATTTCGTACAATGCTCCACACACACACACACACACACACACACACACACCTGGGACTGACTGACTCTCAATGACAATATGACATTCATTCACTTCACTATTTTCACTATTCTGACTACACAACATTGAGAAACCCCTGACTCTGCACCCCCAGGGTTATAAAGAGAGATGTACTTCAGTACAGACAAACTGCTGGTTGGGTGATCTGTACAGTTCCTAACCCTGCTGTGGGACATTGCATCATCTCATCACTGAGACTAGTAGTCATGTGCCTCTTCAGCCCAGAAAACAATAAACATGGCAATCAGTCCACCAAAACCCCATGGAAAACAGCCTGGTGTGTTACTTCTTAAAAGTAAGTCAAATCAACATATGAAAAGTCTAAAATCTTCAGTGATGGGATCTCTCTGTAGGCAGTACAGAGAACACAGTAGTCATGTAGGATATGGTCTTAGTGGCTGGGTCAAACAGACCCCTACAGTACATACCCCCTCCCCTGTATCTCCATGTTACATCAGACTATGAGGAGAATGCAAAGCAAAACCACCATTTGAGATGGGAGACATTTGATAAGTAGTTTGGTTGCAGTTAGCTAGCTGTTGCTAGTAGTTAGTTCCACCCAATACAGAGAGCATTGTGCTGACTGTGGGTTTCAGTAAGCAGTTGGCTGGACCCATGTTAGCCAACAGTCCATTGGAAATGATCATTACCCACTTCACAGGTTTCAAAACTGCATAGTAGACCCAAATGCATACATACACCTCAACGAAACAATCCTCTCAGGTTGGCTCTAGTGACATGAGGAGAAACGTCTCTTTGGGAGCCGACTGTTGGAACACATGGAGTGAGTGGCATCTAGTTTGGCTTTGGTCTAACATAATTGTGACAGTTAGCTATTAAATTAAGCAATCAACAAATGTTCCTTGTTTTATCCACCCCACATTTTCACTGTTCTTGAATGTCTACTGTAGTCAGCCCCACTCTTGGGTGTCTTTCAGGTGGCGGTGGATGGGAGACCCCTGGTTGTGTGGCATACTGTAGGTGCACCTGCAGCTGGCGGTATCGCTGGCAGAGGTGGGGTGGTGGCTGTAGTAAAGGGGTGTGGATGCATGGGGTATGTATTTGCCAGTGCTATACAATGGGGGCATGCAGTTAAAACGAAGCACATGCAATTTGTTTGGGAGCCTTTACTTCCTCTGATCCATGCTTTAGTCTCCGGGAGGTGGAATGTTTGGCCCTGGCCATTTAAAACTCAGACTGAACTTAAAAAGAGTATCCAATCCCACAGCTTTCTAACAGAGACAAGAGAGAGAAAGGGGGGTGGGGAAATAGACGAGGGAGGATAGAAACGGAGGGACAAAATGAAGGGGGGATAGGACAGAGTGTGTTCCAATCCTCAGTTTGGTGGATAGATAGACACATATCATGTCATAAGGAGACCTGGTCTCTTTGCAGCCTGCCGCTCATGTCCATTAAGTTAGACCTGTACCACAGTATGGGGGGTTGACTGGCTGGCTGGTTGACTGGCACTGGTGACGTCTGGCCTGGCTGGCTGCTGGGGGCTCCAGTGTGGGGACTTCAGGGGCCTGGCCGTGCCCGCCATAGAGGAGGGCTCCAGCGGGTAGATAGGACTGAGAGGGAAGGGTCACTGCTGGGGCTTGGAGGTGGGCTGGCTGGCTGCAGGCTGGGAGGTCTCTGGAACCTCGATGGCGATGGAATGTGGCTGGATCACGATAGGGGCACGTGGACCTGCAGGAAAACATTGAACTTGGTCAGACTCACTGGGGAAAATATTAACCCTCAATAGAGAAAAGGACAGTGAATATGTTAGCTATGTGTCCCACTCCATGCTGAGTAGGTAAAGGACTAGCCTACATATAGGCTATATGCTCTATGAAATAATGTAGCTTCTGCATTCTCTATGGTTTGTATGATACTAAAAGGTCAAATTCTGAAGTCAAATGAAGAACTAACAGGCATGTACAGACAGGTAACAATGATCACAATGCATATCATACGTCATTGGCAATGACTTTGTAAACATCAAATAACATATCAGGGTTCTGTAGATATAGGCTAATGATGACCTGATGTCAATGAGGAAGACAAAGGGAAACAACCAAATAGGAACATCTGTCCAGGTTGAGGTTCATGCACACAGTACAAGCCAAAGGTATGTGACTACAGTAAAACTTCCTCTCAGGCTGAGGCTACAAGGGCAAAGTCTGGCTACCAGGTACACACAGGGTATTTACTAGCTGGAAGCATGACAGTCTACACAACAGCTCTGTAAACCCTGTTGACAGGAAGCTTCCAACTCTCATCTAGCTTTGCTGCAATAAATCCTGTTATCAAAAAAGAAGTGGCCTTTTCACTTATTTTGTCATGTATTAGGCTAGTGAACATTTTAAATAAAAACTTCACCAAAAAAATCCAGCAAGTAAAAGCCTGTTGTCTCAACTAGAAGCAATTCACAAGGGAATGTATTATTAGTAAGAGGCATGACCTAAAGTTGGGCCCTTGTTTAACTGTTCTCAGGTGTAACCTGTCCTGTGTTGAAAGCTCCACGAAAGTCATGTTCAGTAGGTGGAAAACGTTTTGAAACAAGGACGTGCTACCTGAGCGTGTCCAGTAAGGACACAGATTTTTGTTTTCTGTCGCAAAACGTTTTGCTATGGTATGCCCTACTGAACATGACCAAGTGTGTACCATGAACCTACCTGCCCTCCCCTGGCGATGCTCATCCACACTGTCACTTTCCTTATAGAGGACATCATCCATACGCAGCATAGAGGGAGAGCACAGAGCACTGCTTAGAAAGCACTTCTACTATTAGAGTTAGGCTACTACCCCTACTATATCAGATTACAATATAATGAAATGATAGTAATAATATAGTACTATCCCAACATCATTATATAGTCTCTTGAAGCTTCAAGCTATCACTTTGGTAATGCTAAATAGAGAATCATAGACTGACATGTCAAGAGCAATCATTGTGTTGAACAAACAGACCACCAACAGAGAGAGGATGGTGCAGAGGAAGTAGGTGTGAGGTGAGATGACAAACACATATGGCTGGATGTGACAGGACAGCGGTGGCCCATCTTAGGGGTATTGGTCTCCCACTGCACGACACACACACACCTGTCCCTACCACTGCCACGTGATATTAGAACAAGTCCCCAGAAACAAACTTTCAAAAGACATCCTAATATCCTGTGGGTATCATGGAATATTCGAGAATTAGTATATTGCAGACTATCTAGGATCTGACTATGATGCTCTGTCTTTCATGGAAAACACTCTTACTCAAAGTTTCTAAAGCTTCTTGCAAACAGGATGCAAGTTTTTGAATATTTTTTATTCTTTACAGGCTTCATTCCTTTCACTCTGTCAGGTTTGTATTGTTGAGTAACTACAACGTTGTTGATCCATCCTCAGTTCTCCTATCACGGCCATTAAACTCAAACTATTTTAAAATCACCATTGGCCTCATGGTGAAATCCCTGAGCAGTTTCCTTCCTCTCTGGCAACCGAGTTAGGAAATATGCCTGTTTCTTTGTAGTGACTGGGTGTATTGATACACCATCCAAAGCGTAATTGATAACTTCACCATGCTCAAAGGGATATTCAGTGTCTGCTTTTTAAATTTATTTTCACCCATCTACCAATAGGTGGGTGCCCTTCTTTGCGAGGCATTGGAAAACCTCCCTGATCTTTGTGGTTGAATCTGTGCTTGAAATTTACTGTGGGACCTTACAGATAATTGTATGTGTGTTGTACAGAGATGGGGTAGTCATAAATCAATCATGTTAACCACTATTATTGCACACAGAGTGAGTCCATGCAACTTATTATGTGACTTGTTAAGCACATCTTTACTCCTGTACTTATTTAGGCTTGCCATAACAAAGGGGTTGAATATTTATTGACTCAAGACATTTCAGTTTTTCAGTTTTTATTAATTTGTTTTAAAAAATCTAAAACCTAAATTCCAGACATTATTGGGTATTGTGTCTAGATCCGTGACAAAATCTCAAATTAATCCATTTTTAATTCAGGCTGTAACAGAAGGAAATGTGGGAAAGGCCAATTTGTAAGTCGCTCTGGATAAGAGCATCTGCTAAATGACGTAAATGTAAATGTAAAGGGGTATAAACACTTTCTAAAGGCACTGTACCTCTTCGTAAGGCCCCAGGGGGATCAAAGGGTTGTGTTAGCTTATGACAAACAGGGACTGTGCTTTTAGCACATTGCTCTCTGTCCTCAACATACCCACAGGCTAGGTTTTCAACTAACCAGCCTGACATTGTATTGATGTTTTTAATCTAAATAGACGGCTACTGTTTATTGAAGGCAGCTAATGTCTTGTGGGTTGAGTGAGTACTTGGCTGCTGTGGGGCCCTGTTTTGTCTTGTGAAGCTCACTTGTTACATCCAGTTAAAATGCCTAAAGCCAGGAGTACACAACACAATTTTGGCGCCGATTTAGCTGTCCCAGTTTTTGAGATCGGAGACAAAATCCCCATGTTGTTGCCTACTCAGGGCACGCGGCCGTCACCGACGCTCATTTAATGTGAGCAGGAGACGCAATCTGAGGGCTACCGATTCCGTCTTTGAGCAGCCCCAGACATCCCGATATTTTCAAACAGGTTTGATTTTATTGGCACAAAATCTGCAATGCTTTTGTAGTGTGAAATGTGCAACGACAAGTTTTGAGAACGGTGATCAGCAATAGCCGATGAGCGCTCGCCAAAGAAGACAGTGAGATGACGTTGTTTCGCATCACCCATGTGTAGACTCTTTCGAGCAGGAGCCTTAAACATTTACATACATTTACTTAAACCAAACGTCAACTCGTTACAGCTCTGAAGTTCACAAGCAATAGAAATTTCAACTCTGTATGTCATGTGTCAATGTCTGACTGAAAACGTTTATGGGGCTGCTTTGAGCCACAGCTCATTCTAGCTACGTTAACAATCGAATCACATCATTGTTTTCGCGAGACAGCGTTATGGTATCGACAATCCTCACGACCAAGTGAAGACTCTTGTAGTGTGTGACCCCCGTCTGTGCCAGATCGTTTAGTGTGCGCAACACCCCGTTGGCAAGACGAGAAACTACAGGAAAGACGATCGTTTAAAGTGAGAGGCTCAGCGATGTTAACATTTCGAAAGTAGTGTAGTGTACACCCGGCATAAGCGTCTCTGTGGTCTTGTTGGTAAGGTCATGGGATACTTGGCATTGATTAGGCTATAGCTTAATGACCATAAACCATGCCTAATTAACAAAGAGATTACATCCACTTTATCAACAAGGCAGCAAATAGTTACTACAGATATATTCACGATGGACCAAACACTGCCAAAATACTTAGCAATCAATTAACTTAAATTATTGTTATTGAGTAGCTCTATCCATGGCAAAATTAGGTCCACTACATTATATACAAGGCAAGCTCATACATGCAGCCATGCTCAAAACATTTTGAAGCAACAGCCATGACATCTTGCAACACAACACTGACAGGCAAACAGAATGGATGGTTAGTGAGCCAGTCAAACAAACAAACAGCTGAACATAGTACAAAAGGCACCATGTGTCACTATGAGCAAATACAGTCTGGTGAAACGGGTTGGTCTGGGGCGTGGCAACGTGCACAGGAAGCGTGACAGATGGACACGATGCAGCTGGGTTGAGTACAGCAAGTACATCAGGGAGACGGGGGCTTACGAGTCATTTAGACTCCGGCAACGTTTCGCCTGGGTTCTCAGCAGCCACTGGACTGGTCTGGTTGTCAACCACTGGATTGGAAGGGCCTCGGCTGTTGGCAGGGCCTAGGCTGTTGGCAGGGCCTAGGCTGATGGCAGGGCCTAGGCTGATGGCAGGGCCTAGGCTGATGGCAGGGCCTAGGCTGATGCTCTCAGCCACAGGACTCGATACAGCTATAGGTACGGCTACAGGTATGGGCTGCACAATGATTACAGTGTCACCTGATGGATCAAAACACACAAACATACAGAAACACCTCTGTCAGAATGAGAAAAACCAGGCTTGCTCATTGGGCCAGAATATACTGATATGTTATCCCCATACCCATACCGCCTTGGGGCCGTTAGCTTGTCATGTTTGGTTTCGTTTTCAGTTACTGTAAATGAAGCGCAGTTCCTGTTTTTGTGCGATACAGTGACGAGATTATTCATATAATCTAGGTATTCGCCTGAACATGTGAATATCTCTGAAACCAATAGCAAAACAAATTGCATCATCATTTTGCTTATAATGCCTTATACTGTAAGTCCAAATGGTGTGAAAGTAATTTGGGCTAAGGGTCGTGACTACGGGGTCACCATGGTCAATCCTCAGAACAAAAAACAAGGCAATTAGGAGTCTAGTCCTTGGGACTGTTTGCTATTGAGTGATCTGCTGTGTAGAGAGGCAACATGAGTCAAGGAGCTGTGAGTCATGTCCTCAGACCAACCAGTTAAGGGCACGTCACAGAAGGCTGAGGCAGAGAGCATCCTCTGAAATCTGACAGGATTGCATTTAACTTCCTCATCTCGCCTCTGTCTCAGCCCCTGTCCTGGCCTGTTCTGACCTGCACTGGGGACCACTGATGGGAGAGGGTAAAACAAAGAGCTTCTTGTTGGGTTTGAAATGTTGGAACAAAAGAAACACTGTTGACATTTCTAACTGTTAATGTTGACATGTTATTGCACACTGTTCTGACACATGCAGAAACACCAAACAACAACATTATATTACCTGTTTTGTATCCTTGTGGTAAAGGAGCATTGTGATACAAAGCACATTTCTGCACTAGCTGATAAAACATTATCATCTAATTTACTGAGGAGAGTAATGATTATAATTTCAAAAATATTTAAATACATGTCAGAGCTAGGGCTATAACTCGGATAGTATCCTCCTCTATGATACGAACCAGCAGTCTCTCATTCAGAGTATGAGTAAGCTATAAATACCTGCACTTTTAGCTCTTCTGCTTCATGAAGGTAATCTATGGTCTAGCATGTAGCCTCTACCTCCTGAGCAGGACCAGGTGCTGGAGACCCAGAGTCCTGCCTAGCTGGACTAGACACTGGTGCTTGTCCCCTCCCCTCCTCCATTCCCTCATCCCTTCCTCCCCATCCCTGTTTGGCTGCTCTGGCCCCATCTGTTTCCCTGCCTCTCCTCCCTCTTCTGTCCTCCTCTCCTGCTCTTTTGCTCTGAAAGGAAGTGACAGCGTTAAGTCAGGCTGAAAAACCGACATCTGCGAGGCGGCCTGTTGCTGAGGTAGCGTGGAGGGGCGCCAGGACACAGGAGAAGGGCCAACACAGAAGGACAGGGACTGGGGAGGCATACTGTATTTATCCTGTTACACTCCTCATGAGCTCTAGCCCACCTATTGTAGTCTATACAATAGAAAAATGCCTATCTGCATAGCACACTCAGTTTTCTACCCAATGCCAAACAGTCCCCAGCCTACTTACAAGTGCCACAAACATCCTCCCACAGACTACCTGCCACCAAACCAAAATACCCCCTCCCCATAATGTCCCCCCTCCCATTTAAAAACTCCCCCGTCCCCTCCCAGCGTGGTCTCACCTCCGTCCGTCTCAGCTTTGATCTGTGCCTCCAGGTCCTCTGGGTCCACGTACTGGTAGTGATCATCCTCCTCCGGCGGTTTGCACTTCCCGCAGCAGAAACAGCAGCAGCAGCAGCAACAGCAGCAGGAGAAGACGGTACAGCACACGGCCATGGTCTGCAGCACCAGTGCATAACACAAACACACAGCATTATCAGTATGGAGCATTTCCCCATCACACATACCCAGCCGGGACAGTCACCCGCTTTCTTCCTGCTCGCATGAGAACTTAAACATGTCTGGCCTCAGATCTACAGGGTAACCCAGTGAGAGAAGCTAGGGGATATTAACAGCAGAGACAGTGTAATACGTGTGGATGCTCTCAATAATCCTATTGTACCGAGCATTTCTAGGGTATAAATAAGTGGAGCGGTTTTGTTTATCCCTGAAATGTTCCTTTGCTTTTTAGTTTTCTTTGTAGATGAAAGCAGAGAGGTTTGTGAGACAGTCAGTGGCTCTTCCTCTCTGCATCTGGACCACTCTACTTACTCTACTCAGCATCAAAGGCCACACATCTCAGAATGACTGAGCACAACTACACAGAACACAGTTCTAAATAAAGACTGCTTTGCACCTGGAGCCATCTGTCTGACTGACTGAAACAGAAAAACACAGTACACTGACAGGTTCAGAGGGAGGTAACTATGACACTTGTCAAAGCAATTATACACAGATACTTATAGACTGTCAATGTACTCCCAACAGGGATTATAGTAGGGTGTCTAATGCATGGAGAAGACCGAGTACTAGACAGTGAATTCTAGTTATAACCATGTCTAATAAAATCCCAGCAGGTCTTAGTGTGATGATTGTGTGAGTGATGTGGCTGTACACCCAGGATAACAAGGATAACCTAATGTATTACCCTGTTAGACTAAAGGTGGTTTTGGGGGGTTACGAGGTACTCTCTCTCTCTCACCTTAAACCACCACTTGGACATGAGGAAGTAGTATTTGACGCTCTCCTCTCCAAACTGATCGGACACGTAGAGGCCCATGGAGCCGTACTCGTCGTAGATCCTCCTCTTGCCGTCATCATTCAGGATGGAGTTGGCGTTGTTGATCTCTTTAAACTTATCTGCAGCCTCCGGGTTGTCTGGGTTCTTGTCTGGGTGGTACTTTAACGCTAGTTTCCTGTAAATAGATGGATGAATTAAGAAATGCATGGATGAATTAATGAATCTCAGTCCACACCACCACATACAAATTAGACGAAACTCTAAATCCTATGAAGAGCTTATACCTCATTAAAAGTAATTGTTCTGTGTCTGATGGACCAACTCCTGAATAAAGCTGATCATTAACTTGCTCCGGGAAATGGAGAAACAGGCTTACAGGTGGCGAAACAGGCTTACAGGTTATGTGGCTATAACGACCAGAGACAGGCTGAGTGTTACCTGTAGGCTCTCTTGACGTCCTCAGCGGAAGCTCCTTTCTCCAGGCCTAGCACCTTGTACAAGCTCTCCCCTGTTGTGGACATCTTCCTCTGGGGGCCTGGCCGGTTTGGCTCAGCTGCGCCTGTGCCTGTCGTGGCCATGGCTGAAGTCTGCCAAGATACACACAGTCACACAGGAGGTTAGCACTAAGTCACACTGACACACACACGGGAAGTGTGGCACTGAGCAGGTTGTCACTGTAGCAACAGAGACATGCACCCTGCAGTATTTACCAGACCTGTTCTTAAATCTTTACATTATTTGTCCAAGGAGTAACTACATGTGTGTGTGTGTGTGTACTGTCTGTAACCATAATAGTCTGAGTATTATAGCCTGGTAGACATTGTTTAGCCTAGTATACCCTAGGGAACTGGAACAGCTCTGCCTAGAATATCCCATCTCATAAACCCAGTGTCAATACAAGGATACTAAAAAACAGTATGAACCAGCAAAACACAAGGATATAGCATTCAGCACTGGCTGGGTTTATGTTTTAAAGATTTTCTGCACACACATGTAAGGGCTGGGCCTATACAAAACCCTTACAGATCATTTAAAACCACAATACACTCAATTGACAAGTAGGCTTAGCGCTGATGAATTTGGGATTAAGCTCCAAGACTGCGTGTAGTAAAGTGCAGCAGCATGTGTTAAACATGAATAATACATCACAACTGTAGAACCTCAATCTGAAATCCCCGTGATTAAAACAAAGCAGAAGACCAGCTGGGAGACTACAACACTCCACACAGCACCACATTTTGCTGAACAGGACAATAGCCCTGCTGTGGCACACACACACACACACACACACACACACACACACACAGTGACTACTGGTGACTAGTAATACCCCGGGAAGGCCTGAGCTAAAGGCGATTACGTTTTGCTGATCTCGCACAGATTACTCGTCCAAGTCAACATGGGCCAATCCTAGACTGGCCCTGGCCTGGCGAGACAGCCCTGAACAGCCAGCACCGCACAGAGACAGGCTTAGGAGGCTTGGCTGGGGAGGAACCTGTAGTCTATAGGTTGTTGCGAGGGGGAACAGTAAATGGTGGCAAAAGGCTACACGCAGTAGCAGAGTAGCAGTAAACTACGCTACTTGGCCATTTCCCATTGATTCCCTTCAGGCTGGTGTTGTCCCAACACTGAGAAGGTGGTCTTTATGTAATTACCATTGTCTTACATTGGAACTGGTCAGTCTCCAAGTCAAGGATTTCCATCTGCTTAACAACCACCAAACTTTACTCACACACTTCCAAAGCTCGGACAACCAAAGACATTTAGCCAGCAAAGCTTGTTTTCCACCAATAATTACCTCTGCTATCCGGTCTGTCTGTCTGTCGGCCATTCACTAAAGCCCCAGTTCCAATGTTCCACTGGCTCAGGCCCAGCCTTAACTCTAATCAGTTAAAATAAAGTAACTTGTGAATAGTCTGTAGAGAAAAGGGACTTCACAATTACAGGGGTAAATGGGGTAGAGAGTCAGCACGACGAGGCATCCAGCATTTTAGACAGGACCTACCTAGGCCTAAACTGATTGTCTCCTGTGCATTGCAGTAAGATAAATAACTTTGTGAAGTGCATACTGTCATCTCCTTTGTTTCATTACACAATGCCAGAGCATGAGGCATTCATTATCAGACCCATTATCTCTGCCTTGTCAGTGACAGTGACGATTGATTTGTTGACCAAGCCTGTACTCTGATCATGTCACCTTCTTGCAGACAGTGTTTTCTCATCAAAGCACAATGTGTCTTAGAGCTGTGCCAAGCCTCTCTCATGGGCCCAGAAACCTGTGAGGGGACTAGCCTAGGGACACTGAGACAGCACAGTGGGCTGAGAGAGAGGAGAAAAACAATTAGTTTCTCCTAGGGCAGGGGTTCCCAAACCTTTTCCACTCGGGCCCCCCTTCCAGCATTGAGGAACATCCTGCGCCCCCACCTGCACGCGCGCCACTTCTATTTCTATGGGTACAAGCACTATTCATGACACAAACTGTTCACACCCCTCTTGTTGGTGGAGAGAATTTTGCAGGTTTAAAGCTTATTTCCTGCAATTCTACACATTTTGTCATGGGGTGCAAAGAAAATGTTGCTGTTTAAAGCACATTTTCTTGCAATTCTATACATTTTGCCATGTCTACTATGTATTCATGTGATATTTGAGTGAGAAATTACAACAATATCTATGGGCTAAAAAAACTAAATAAAAAAACCTTAGCTGACATGGGCTAGTTGATCTGGACATTTCTGACAAGTTATAAATAGCTCTCTAAGGTATGCAATGACTAACATGACAAGAGGAACTGATGATGCACTACCCAATTTCGAAATTGTACCTTCTACTATTTCAACTTTCAAGAGTAAGTTTAAAGCCGGACTGAGTTCCTTAAAAAAAAAAAATTATAATAATAATAATAATAAGGGCCCCACAGTTTGGGAACAATTGTCCTAGGGGAGAAAACCTGAAGACACCTTTTCAACAACACACAGATCCCTTGATTCCTGGAAGAGATGTGACAGGATGTGTGTTTGTTATGATTATGCTTCGGTTATGGTCATTACACAGTTTCTGCGTTATAAAATGTAGGCCAAGTGGTCTTTCCCTGTGTGTTCCACACTGGCACACGTCAAACGTTGTGACATAGAGTAAAATGTGTGCATCCAGGTAGGTTTGAGCTGTATCCAGATTTTCATATTGCCATACTGTCCTTCTATCGTACCAGGATTTACGGTATTACCGGCATAGCACACAAGGGGGCGCTAAAAACGCAAGAAAAGCACATTGGGCCTCTATCACCAGAATGCTAACAGAATTAGCAAAAACTAATAGTGAAATCAAACGCTGTTAGCTAAATGCTAACAAGCGAAAAACTAACATAAATGAATTGCAAAGGCAAGCAAATCCAGCTCAAAGTTATACAAGCACAGCTAGTAGCTACCAAATGGAAGGGAGAGCAGCATGTGTACACTGAGCAGATCGGAGAAGAAAGGAGGAGGGGGAAAAAAACGCTAGTAGGAAGCACAGGGAAAAAATAGCAGCTGTACAGATAACTCATCCAGAGTGCTTTGACTTCTGGCAGAAAGCCATTATATGATATCTGATGGCAAACATTTACTAGTGAATTGCATACGAGTGTAACTTCATCACCTCGTGTGCCGCACAACATAGACTAGCCGATAGATCTAGAACACTATGGACTCACCAGCTCGCTTTCTCCTGTTGTGCTATTTACAAACAAACACGTGACTGGCTCAACTGTTCTGGGGAACTACGGTAAGCTTCATAATTTAAAATAATGTGACAGGTGAAATTAAGAATGTAATCTGCTTTATCTCCTAAGGTATTGCACAAGTTGACTGCAGGTAATAACTTAAAAAGTAGCTACAAATATTTACATTTATTGAAAAACGTCAAATAAATAGTTTTGACGGTATTGAAAAACCATCCTGTGGCTTTTTCCAAATACAACGGTATACCGCCCTAAGCCTACATCCAGGCCAATTGGATTTGACCCTTCTGTAAGAGGCCTCTGTGGGTTAGCGAAAGTAGACATGGCCCAGTGCCTGTCAAAGCCACCACTTGACACTCCGGAAAAGACGACAGCCTGACAGCACTTCTAGCTGTGAATCAGTCTGTACACAGGCTCTGACAAGCGCTACCTAATAGGCTAGTCCCTCACACAGGCTTTGACAAGCTCTACCTAGTCGGCTAGTTCCTGATGTGGAACTTTCTCACACTAATATGCAAAAAGCTCATTGGCATAATTGATATGCCTAAATAAGGACAGAGACTATATTAATGGAAGAAGAGTGCTTTATCTAGGCCTAAGTAACTATTTCATTGGCCCTACTTGCTAATTCTATCAACAAGTCAGAGATGGAAAGATCAAACAAATTTGAAGAACAGCCACCGTGATTATGTGACAGCCAAATTATTTTTAATGTTCCTCAGAGAGTGTGAAAGAGAGAATGCTGAGAGAGGCTGCAGCACTCAAACAGTCTACTGTCAGTGCTGGGCTAAATTAAGAGTCTTTTGTATTATTTTGCAATCCTCTTGTTTCTCACATAAAGGCTATTTTTAGCTGCCTTTTCAAGTGATTTGAGAGCCGGATGTTGCCTCTTACAGAACTTTCATAAACATCCCAACTACTTCCGTACCTTGTCAATGGAAAACTAACATATCTGCTTTTATTTGCCGCCATAAACTTTAACAGCAGCAACCTCTGGTTTAAGGTTGAAACCTGAGATATATAAAATAAAATACAAGGCCTAAAACATTGCTACAATGTTAAACATGCTTCAGTGTGGTGTAAGGACAACTCAATGACCAAGACAAGTAGTAGGACAGACTGACATTTCAACACCTGCACCTCTGCTCATAACCAGAGTATAAACTAGGCCTAACCGACCCAAAAACTGGGGCAGGGCTTGACTAACTTTTTTGCCACTTGTTCTTCGGACATGTAAAACAAAAATTTTAAAAATGGTCTGTAACACAATTTTTATATCATTGTATGACGCAAGGAACCACTTCTGTTTACTACAGAGAATCAGACAATGTAGGCTACACTCTGCCTATTGGCTTCTTTGCATTTTCAAACTGGTCTTAAAATACACAACTGCCCCTTTAAGGCTCTCCTAGAGGATGGTTGGCCACACTTTCAACATTACAATTACTAAAAAAAAATAATACTTTTGCAATTTTGTACATGTCTACTGTTCAAAACACTCTGGGGCGACAGATCCAAAAACCATACAACCCCTGCACATAAACACATTCAAAAAAGCAAATGAGGCTGACGCAACAGATCAGAACGTATAGCTTAAAATGTTGATAACGTTTTATTTCTTCACATTATAAACTCAACAATGCGCACGTCTGTAGGCTATTATCGAATGTTCCAAACTTATATTAGGGAATAACATCACTCTCAAAAGCACACCGCACTCGCGAGGGGTTGAATGTTACAGAGTAGCCAAAGGCCGGCAGATGGTAATATTGAGTTAATCTTACCGTCCAAACGCATTGTATGCAGCCGACAATGTCAATACACTCCTATCCCCCGTGGACCGGTTCATACCTAAAACATTCTCCATTCCAGCTACAAAAGCTTCGATTTCCTCAAATGTATTCAATGGTGAGAAGGCGGGGGTAAAACGGGGAAAATATGCATACTTTCCTTGGGAAACAATCAGGTTGCAGCGGTCGGTTGTTTACCCCTGGCTGAATGCGGGGCGCAACATCAGGAAGTAGCATTGGTGTTTCAAAAGAAAGTACGCATATTTTCCCTGTTTTTTTCTCGCCATTAAATAAAGTCAAGGAGGAAATTAAAACCTTTGCAGCCTGAATGGAGAATGTTTTAGGTACAAACCGGTCCACGGGGGATACGAGTGTATTGTCGGTTGCATACAGTACAATGCGTTTTGACGGTAAAATGAACTCAATATCGTCATCTGACTGCTTTTGGGCTAGTGACAGAGATGAAAATGTAAATTAGAAATGAAGGATGGGGTAATATAAAGATGCATCAACTAGCATGGGTTACTGATAGACTAGGATTATGCCTTTGGCTGCTGGACAATAAAATAATGTTGATTTGAAAACCAACAGAACATGAGAAAAATGCTGGTTTCAATGGCATATTAAGTGTTTATAAAATAATTCCCTCAACATGTCTATGGTCGTATTTTGGCTAGGCTACTTTGAAACAAGGTAAAACATGCTTTATAAAATAAAAAAAACGTCTAGGTTTTAAACAATTCACTTTATAGTTGAACAGTTTTAAAATGCTGACCGCCTCTGCTCAGATTCAAGGTGGGTGATGTGGGGTGCGCAACAGGCACTGTCCTTCACTCTCTGGTCTTTACTGGCATTTAGCCTATATTGATGTAATTAAAAGTCTCATTAAAGTTTGACTACATTTTCTGGCGCTTCATGTCAGCATCGGTTTGGACATGAGGCTGTAGCCAATATGCACAGGCTATCACCTACACCAGGATTTCCCAAACTCGGTCCTGGTGTAGGTGATTTCTTCGTTACTGTATGTACTTAAGTCGTTTTTTGGGGTATCTGTACTTTACTATTTATATTTCTGTCGACTTTTACTTCACTACACACTTTTTTTTGTAAGAATACTTTTACTTTGATACATTTCCCCTGACACCTTGCTACAAAATCAAATCAATCTGAAGCTGGAAGAAAAAAACTAATAATGTTGGAAAAAAGATGCAAGCAACATCGGCGAGTCGGCACACTCATGGGTGAACTTGTTTTGCAATGCAGCAGGCAACGACATGCAGAGTTGATACAATCCTCATACATTTGGGCAAATCCAAGGGTCCTAAA